TCATCATTACAAATGAAATTAAATTTTTAGCATAGAACTGGACAGCAAGAATTTACCTGAAGGTTAAAAAAATGTTGTGTGACACAAATTACATTTAATGACAGATTTTCGCCAGGTTTTTAAACGCCGCGCTTCCTATAGCTATACGCCGCACAGGAGTTTATCTATTGGTCGAGTGTCGAGTGTCGAGGGTAAAAAGTCGAGGGCGAGGGTAAAAAGTCGAGGGTGAGGGTAAAAAGTCGAGGGTGAGTGTTAAAAGTCGAGAGTAAAAAGTCGAGGGTTAAAAGTTGAGAGTAAAAAGTCGAGGGTTAAAAGTCGAGGGTTCAAAAGTCACAAAAAAAATACAATATTAAGATCAGGTTAGCGACGAGTTCTCGGCAGTATTGTTATACAACTTAGGCTATAAACTTAGGCTATAAACCAAATAATCAAACCTATAATATGCGTTCCACGCACATATACTACGTGGCGACCGCGTATTCTGCGTTTTAAATGTACTAATATGCCATACCGTGGCTTTGCGTCCTGATCTGCATCATACATGCAGCCGTGCAGACAGCAATACAATCAGTTTAAATAATATATATTGTTTATTCTCAACAAACAACAGTATATTACATACTAAGCAGGGCTCTTTAAAACACAGCGCCCTGCTTTACGCCTTTAATCGACAATAAATGAACCGATAATGTAGGGGCAATTAATATCGCAACTTGTCATTGAACTTGATGTATATATGCAAGGTTCGTTTGTAGCCGGTATACTGCATGTGCTTAATCGGCTAAATTATTACTCCGCAAATCAGATTAAGGTGTGAAACTCAGGCGTAAAACTCCGAGTACCTATCAGTTAAATTTTAAGATATACAGAAACTCTTTATAAACAATCCCGCGTTGAAAATAATCACGGACCTCCATTTTATTAAACGCTTTCCAAATTTTCCTGAGTGCACACGAAACAATAGCTTAAAATAGAAGTCAAGTTACTTATTGTTATCATTGCCGGTCTCGATTTTGTACCATTGGCATTGTTTGAATTGTTTAATGTGTCCACAAGCAAATTCGTGTTTTAAACATGACTAATATAATTGAAACTTGGTCAATTTTATGATTGTTATTTATTTAACTATAACTAACGGGCCACTAAAATGAACAGAACATATGTTTCAGTCGAGCCAGTGAATTGCGGCATGCATGTCGGATATGTCAGTAACCTGATCTGTCAATAAAGGCGAAAACATCGCCCAACGTGTGTGCGTGGAACGCATATTATAGGTTTGATTGTTTGAATAATGTTTGATTATTTGGTTTAAAAGTGCTCATATAACAATACTGCCGAGAAGACACGTAGACGTCGCTATGGCCTTATCCGAAGCGGTTACCTGACCTTAATATTGTATTTTTTGTGATTTTTAACCCTCGACTTTTTAACCCTCGACTTTTTCCCCCTAATTTTAACCCTCGACTTTTTACCCTCGACTTTTTACCCTCGACTTTTTACCCTCGACTTTTAACCCTCGACTTTTTACCCTCGACTTTTTACCCTCGACTTTTTACCCTCGACTTTTAACCCTCACCCTCGACTTTTTACCCTCACCCTCGACTTTTTACCCTCGCCCTCGACATTTAACCCTCGACACTCGACACTCGACCAATAGATAAACTCGCCGCACAGTGACATTGGAATTAATACTGTTACCCGATCCTCACGTTGTATATCAAGAACGTATCAATAAAATATTTGTATGATTGTATCCAATAATTTATTTGCAGTGTATAGAGCTGGGGCTGTGGGTTAGGAGTATAAATATGCGTAAAGTTCAATTCCAATATGACCAATATGCTAATGCCATTGTCTTGCGTTATACCATTACTTTTATTGGCTTATAATGTGCGGATCGGCTGATTACTTGTATAGTTAACACTGACAAATATTGGTTTATTCAATTATTCAAGCCAAACAATAAATCAACATGAGAATGATAAGATCGTATAAACATCTACATATTGCGGTCTAGTAGGGTCTACTATAGCTATGGTTTAATATTTGTAACGTGCCGAGCACAATGTCAATGCAAAACAAGTGCGCGGAGTCAAAGCCAGAGTGGCGAGCCATTTATTAAATAAAGCACAATCTTATATGATACAATTGCGTGCGAGCCTTGGCCTCTCCCAAAAGGAACTACGTCATTTACACAAACAACATAGCTTCGGTCGCCTAATCCTATTACTGTAATTTCGATTTACTTCAATGCTACATTTGCCATAACGCAACGAAAACAATTCATGAAAATATTTAATCAAAAATCTTCAAAATGTTAGGTTTTTTCCCGATTTCGGCCATTCCCCGCCATTCCCCGGCCATTCCCCGCTCATTCCCCGCTCATTCCCCGCTCATTCCCCGGCCATTCCCCGCTCATTCCCCGCTCATTCCCCGCTCATTCCCCGGCTCATTCCCCGCTCATTCCCCGCTCATTCCCCGCTCATTCCCCGGCCATTCCCCGCTCATTCCCCGCTCATTCCCCGGCCATTCCCCGCTCATTCCCTTCCCCGTTCCCTTCCCCCATTCCCCGTTCCCCGTTTTAAAGATAGCCGCAGGAATGTTACTCTGATTGCATTGATATCGAAGGAACTAGACTCAGTTCCGAAATATCACATACTCGAACCGACCTGACCGCGTAGCTCAGTTGGCGGAGCATCGGGCTAGTATTCCAAAGGTCGTAGGTTCGATTCCCACCGTGGTCAGGCATATTTTTCAAACTTGCCCGGTGTGGATATACACTCAGAGTAACATCACAAACATATATTCACCTGAGTACATAACACCAACACAGAAAATTCATGTTTAAAGTGCTTCAAAAACTCAATAATTTATGAGGAAAACACAAAGGAAATCACTACCATGTCGGTGGGTTTATATGTGATAAAGAATCATGATAATGCTAATCATAGTAATATTTTGACTTATTGAAATAAATCGAAATAGTGCTTGAATTTTGTTGTTTAAATAGCTCGAGTCTTGAGTTTACAAGATGTTTGTAATATTCCGAGTGGTTTTCAGCTCGTATTCCAATTTCCATACCAATGGACCTTTCACCTTTTGACTAAAATTTAGATCTCAACAAGTCTAGACAAAAATTTTATCACAGCTTGAAAGAGCATCACAAAATTAGTAATATTCCAAAGTTTCATTGCGAAATGTTGTAAAATGCGGATAATATAGCCTTGCGAAGTTTGCCATTTTCAGTCATTTTGTATTACGCGCGGGAAATACATACTTCCTTCGGAAAAATTGCAAACTTCGCAAGGCTATATTATCCGCATTTTACAACATTTCGCAACGAAACTTCGGAATATTACTAATTTTGTGATGCTCTTTCAAGCTGTGATAAAATTTTTGTCTAGACTTGTTGAAATCTAAATTTTAGTCAAAAGGTGAAAGGTCCATTGGCATTGTAATTTGCACACTGTTTTTGAATGCAGTATGGAAATAGCGTGGATATAATACCAATTTGACGCATACCTCTGATGGTTTTATTTCCAAATGTTATATCAAAAGTCCCAGTCAACGGTGGGCTTGCAGCCTTGTTTCGTGTCACCATGATCGTTGCATCAATATCTGTGAAATTGAATCGGCTTTGCTGATCACCATCCGTGCGTGGAAAACCTTCTATCGAGATCAGTGGGATATCGTTGCCACAATATGCTGGAGTCATTTCAAATTTGAACGAGTTCTCCGATAACTTTTTGACGCTAAAGGTTTTGATCCAATGGCCATTTGGATGAGCTGCAACGTTTCTGTTTAAAACTAAACAATCGTACAAACCAGCTGTAGTTTTGCTGCTGCAAATATGAACTGTTATCTCTAGAATGCTATTTCCAATGGTCAATTCGGGTATTCAAATGGGTATCTCCCGACAACTAAGCTGACACTCACAATTTTATGATACCTCTATCAGTTCTAACCTATTTTTCTTAGAGGTCCAGTAAGGGCCATCTCTTATTGGTTCACTATTACAACAGAAAGAAACCTTAACATAACTAACTTTATACTGGATTATCAGTTCTAAACTGTTCTTCCTAAAACTCGGAAAAGACCTAGTGCAGAAGTTTGTCAAAACTGGAAGAATTCTTCTGCATATTAAAGGATCGAACTCTGGTCACGTGAAAGGCACATGTATTAATCACTGTGCCACCAACATCCAGTAAAAAACCAAAAGTCCACAGCTCAACCAGTTACCTGTCACGGTTGTACTTCCAATCCAAACATCATCCACCATCACGTGACCAGAGATGTAGATGTCTTTCACATACATTATGGATCCCGTTTGTCTGTTGCCCCAAAGATTAGTATCGGCCGTTGCAAGTTCGTTCAAATTCACACACACGTATTGCCAGCGCTGAGGAATAGCGGTTTCGGCGTGGTAAAGGTTTGTATGTGTCTGTGTTCCTTGTTTATCCGTGTATTTCACGTAGATTCTCAGTGATACAGTGTCGTTCCCCCCTCTGAATGCGTAACAAACCTGAAAGAGAGAAATGAAGGAGTATGAACCTTTAAAGGTAACGATTCTGCTTATGCGCGTACACGGATATCGATGTTAATGTATGTGACTTCCTCCCTCTGTGACTGCGGTTCGATTTCAGGAATATACAGTTGCCTGATTATAATACACTTCAGTCAAATGTACAGTATATTCCTGTTTCACTCTCACAAATGTTGTAGGTTTTCTCCGAATACTCCAGTTTCCTCCTGTAGCAACACTGAAGGACGATGGAAGTCTCTAGCTGGAACACTTGGGAGAACAGTTTAGAACTGAGTTATGAACAAGCTTTCGTTGGTAGGGATGCAACTACCTGAAAATATATAAGGAGAATTTCGACGTTTCGCTTTCATTGGCACTACCTATACTGGCGAAGACAGTTCAAGATTAGAACTGAGTTACCCTGTGTAACTAATGTTAGCTCAAGTCTGGTTTCTTTTTTTAGTAACACTGGAGAACAGTTCACAACTCCTAGAGCTACCATCTTTATTTCAAGATTACATGTAAATGGATTTCTAGGGAGAACAGGTCAAACACTAGCTGGCAATCGCTAAACTAAACATACTCAAACATACCCGCGAGTATTGTTGAAGATTGAATTCTCCACCTTTGATATTGCCAGGTTTGATGACTGTAAGCCCAGCGGCATAGAGTGCATTGGGGTTTGTCAATACTTGTCTTCCACAGTGCGGTGTTTGGTCGTTTACTCTGTCTCCTCGTTCATAACCTTCACTGTCGCCTTCGTACCCTTGGTAGAAATAGGCATCGTCTGGAAAGAACGACATAAAATATCATTTAGTATGTTATTCTGATATATATTGTGCAATTTGACATATTTCCACCCTTCCTAACTAATGCAGATTTGTAAAAGGTCAAGGAATCGAACAAACTTATCCTTTGCATACGTTCTTATTGCACCAAGCCTCAACCAAAATATACTTTGATGTATGTACAACACAAATTAGGATTCTGAAGACAACAATTATCATTCCATGTTGGGTCAACTTCAAATCATCTCACAACTCCTCTTATATATGTGGATTTGGTATCCCGCATTGAGTGTGTCCAATGGTGCGCTCAGTGGTTAGAACGCTGCTAGGTTAAACTTTGTGACCATGGGTTAGATTCTTGCTCCCACGCCCCAGACGGCTGGACGATTAGAAGCCCCTCCCCCTACTCCTTTGGTGCTGGCTACGCCCCTACACCACTATGGAAGAGCATCATCGTGTGTTACCTGTATTTGCAGAGAATGTGCATTGCGTGGTGAAAAGTTGAGTAAAGGTACTTTCCAGTCCTGCCTCTGTCACATTTGATGGAATCACTTGTGTTCGTTTTCCACCAAGGCTTAATCTGAATCCTTTGTTTGAGTTTATCCCAGCCTTGTCAACGGCCACGCTTACAAACTGTCCTCGTAACTGACTCCCATCCTGGAGCATTGAAGTCGTTTCAGGTTCGGCAAAGTTAAATTTAACTCTGTAAACGTTTTCCTGGCTGTCGGACGATTCCAAAGTTACTGTAACAGACCCAGCATTGCTTATTGAAGGACGACCATTGAGTGCAGTTTGAAGATCTGCAGCAGAAATGCTTAGAACTAGGGACCCAGTGATATCTCCGTTGTAGTTTAAGGTGAATGGCGGTGGTTGTTGACAAACATTGTTCACCAATGAACATTGCTTCACCGTCACTAGCTGTTCTTCCTGTTGGACGAACCCGTCTTTCCAGTTCTCATACGTAATTGTCTAAAAATAGATGCCGCAATTTAACAAATTATTCCTGGCGAACTGTGCATTCTATGATGATGGGGTCCATCTCGAACGTGGTGGTCCAGTGTGGGTAGTATTGTACAGTAAGCTGTCGTGGTTTGTGTCTCAACTACCTGAAAAATATATCTCAACCGTGGTGGTCCAGTGTAGGTAGTATTTTACAATAAGCTGTCGTGGTTTGTGTCTGAACTACGTGAAAAATGTAGTATTCTGCAATAAACTACCATGTGACTGAACTATCTGAATAAATTAAGGAAAACGTCATTTATTTTCCAATACCTGTGTCTCTTCCTCAATGTTGCTATAGATTTTCAAATATTGCTGTTCCTGTACGGCCATGGGAACATCATCCTTTGTAAGACTTGTCGTTTCTTTGTGCATGCCGAGGTTTAGAAAGTATGCGCCACCAGTATCGTAATAATCTCCTTCAATATAATACGCACGGCCTTCCTCAAGGTACATACGTTCTGACCACTGTGTATCATACTTGTTCCAATTGTATGGACCCGTGTAATATAGGTTGGAAGCAATTTCTCTCTAAAATTAAAGAGGATGTATCAAGTATGAATATTCTTGGGTTTCATATGACGTCACAAAAGTGACGGGAGGTCAACTCTAAAACAAAACACAGTTATCAGAGTGAGTCGATTGTTCGTTTTATGTATTAGTCTTGTGTTTGATGGCAAATACGTGGAATTTCGTATCATTTTCTCACTCCAGTACAGCATAAGCATCAATACATTTGAGGTTGACCTCCCGTCAGATTCACTGCATAATTAATGCCTTAGTGAAATCCAAGAATAATTATAACACTTTGTTTGCATCTTGTACATTGTTGTTTTCTATTTTTTTCTCTCTTTTCTCTCTTCAAACGGTTGTTGTCTAGTTAGATACTGGTCTCGAAATGCACGTTCTAGCCTAAACTTCAAACTGTTGGTTCTCAGTGTAGGTAGTGGTCTTGAAATACATGTCCTTTGAGGTAGATTCTTACTAGTTTAAACTTCAAACTATTGGTTCTTAGCGTAGGTGCTGTACAGGTAAACTTCAATTTGAATTATCTGGATCATTTGAATTATCTCTCGTCTGGGTTTATTTTGGGGCTTAGGAAAGGTAGTAATCTTTAAATTCATATTCTTTCTCGTAGATCTTTACTGGCCTCAAGTTCAAGCGGTTTCTTAGTTTTCAGCGTATGTAGAATAATCTTTCAATACAAATGCTTTCCGGCATTTAGTTTAGGAGTGTAAAAAATCGCTGCATTTATATTGTACTTGTTAATATGGAAATTGAGCTATATAAACTTACCTTATCCAAAGGTGAACTGGTGTTACTCAAATACACAACACTGCTGTCGTCAGATGTCGAACCAAATCTGTAGATCCCACTGGAAGGTGGCACGAAGTAGGCAGTCAGCCGACCAACCAACCTGTAAGTCGGTTTCACAAATGATGGATCGTTGACACACGTGGCAAAATCTGTGTACATCTGATGAACGTGACTATGTACGTATGTTGCGTTGGCATTAAAGTCGCGTACGTTGGGAATCCATTCCTCTATTGGCCATGTATCACATATGAATCCTCGACCACCTGGTGATTGTGAAAAAATTAAGAGTGGAAATTAAGAAGGAAGGGTTAAAGTCATCTAGATCGCAAGGCTTAGATAGTTTAAGTATATGGGTTCCCTTCTCTTCTTTCATATTGCGAAGTTGAAAAACCATGCCAATTATAGCCTACGACATCAACGTTGACGTACAAACCTGGGTAGAATTCTCTGCCTTCATTTTCTTCACGAAGTGCGCCTGTCTTGCACGTGATTGTGTCTCGATTACTTGTAAGGACTTCACATGGAACACCTGTGGAAATTGAAAATTAGAATAATTAACTAAAATCCTAGAATGCTAAACTGACTGAATAGGTTATCAGATCTGTCCAAAATTGTTCTTCCCAGAGGTCAAGTAAGGGACATTCTTTATTTGTTGAATATCACTACAGGAGGAAATCTCAACTGAACTAATTTTGTAAATATTAGGTAACTAAACAGTTCAAAACTGTTCTCCCTCGGTCAGTTTTGCTGTAGAGGATATGTATATATATTTGTGAAACTCAATAATTCATGAAGAAAACACAATGGAATGCGTTTTAGGAAGTGGTAACCACCCGGTAAAAATTGACTAATTAAACTCATTTCAAACATGGCCTCTTCAATTTAATTTGAGATCATTTTCTAGCAAATTTACTGTTTATACCTAACGAATAAATTGTAAACAAATTTGTTGTTCATGCATTCCTTTTACAAAAATAAATGTTCTATTTATTTAACAAGTATAACTAAGTTAGTCCTTTCTGAATGCAATGATCTTAATTTCATTGCGATAGCTTTTATAGCTTTTACGTTACATGGAATTAAACAGTGTCCAGTTCTTTTTGGGACACCTGGTATATCTCGTAAGATATCATCACAGGGATCACTTCAAGAATTGAAAAAAAGTTTACCTCCCACGTTAACTTTGACATTCTCTTTGATGAAACTGAATGCTTTTCCTTTGATTGTTAGGATGGTTCCACCAGCGCGGCTGCCGCTTCTTGGTTCAACACTTGTAACATCTGAAAACAGAATCATTATGGTAAGTGCTGAGCTGTTATTATTACTGGTGTAGGCAACTGTCCTTGGGCAACGTTAGGTTTAAAAATGTATGCAAATTTACGTTCGAAAATTTCATTTGCAAAACCTATCTAGTATTGGTAGTATCGAACAAGATGCGCAAAATCTCTGTATTTATCTATTGGTGGTAATGTCCAAATCTTACCCGAATGAGCTTGATATTGATAAATAACATCGTTAGCATCGACAAGGCTAAGATCGTCGTTGTTTATCTGTGAGCGACCGTAATTCGAGACGAGATAAGAGACACCGTAGGAGCCTACATTGTAGAAGATGAACTTTCATATTTCCAAAAATGTACAGAGTCTAGTATAAACTGTTCTCCATAGAGGTCCAGTACTTAAGGATCATCTCTTATTCATCCAGTGTTAGACTACAGGAGGAAACCTAAACTAAACTACCTTTATTTAAACTGGATAACTCTATCAGTTCTGAACTGTTCTTCCTAGAGGTCCAGGAAGGATCATCTCTTATTAATCCAGTGTTACTACAGGAGGAAACCTAAACTAAACTAACTTTATTTACACTGGATAGTTCTATCAGTTATAAAGTGTTCTTCATAGAGGTTCAGTAAGGATCATCTCTTATTGATCCAGTGTTACTACAGGAGGAAACCTAAACTAAACTAACTTCATTTAAACTGGATAGTTCTATCAGTTCTAAAGTGTTCTTCATAGAGGTTCAGTAAGGATCATCTCTTATTGATCCAGTGTTACTACAGGAGGAAACCTAAACTAAACTAACTTTATTTAAACTGGATAGTTCTATCAGTTCTAAAGTGTTCTTCATAGAGGTTCAGTAAGGATCATCTCTTATTGATCCAGTGTTGCTACAGGAGGAAACCTAAACTAAACTAACTTTATTTACACTGGATAGTTCTATCAGTTCTAAACTGTTCTTCCTAGAGGTTCAGTAAGGATCATCTCTTATTGATCCAGTGTTACTACAGGAGGCAACCTAAACTAAACTAACTTTATTTAAACTGGATAGTTCTATCAGTTCTAAAGTGTTCTTCATAGAGGTTCAGTAAGGATCATCTCTTATTGATCCAGTGTTACTACAGGAGGAAACCGAAACCTTGACCAGAGGAAATAATTTTTGTTGAAAGGCATTATTCACCTGGTGCTGTGATTTCTCCTCTACATAGGAAGTGTCCAGAATATGGCACATAGGTTATTCCATACCTACGGTGAGATTTAGGGAAAAGATTTGTATTTAAATGTCTATTTTCTTCTTGATTTTCTCCTTCTGGTGGATGTGAACGAGTAGATGAGTAATGAATGTTCTGAGTAGGTGTACTCTGGTCTGAACATTCATAACTCGTCCACTCGTTCACATCCATCAGAAGAAGAAATTCCGCAGCTAAAATCGCAACAAACATTGCATGTATAAATGGGTCTCATGGATCAAGCAATAGACCTTGTGCATAATGACGTCACAAAGCTTGATGCCCGCGAGGAATGCTGGTCTTAGTAGTCATCGCCTGGAAAATGTCGATAGTGGCCATTTTGAATTGTTTAATTTTCCCGGGCGATTACTACTAAGACCAGCATTCCTCTCGGGCATCAAGCCTTTTGACGTCATTATAGATTAGGTTTATTGATGAACACTTTTTTGAGCAGCATCATATCAAAAGGTTATCAAGAACATTCTTACACTTGTCCATTCTCATCGTTGGTGTCACAGTTGTACCCACCAAGATACGCTCTAGAAAACAAAATATTTCACTCTGGAATTGTATGATAAAACTGTTAGGTACTTCATATTTGTGTGAAACATACGCAATGAGATCATGAAATGAGACATTGATCGTGAGAAAGAAAAATCATATAAGCGGGTCGTATCTTTATATGTGATAGATTGTAAATTCCCAGCGAGTTTGATTAATGCTTCTTATTCTTATTAGCGAAAAGAGGTAGTCGTATTGTTGGCAACTTGATTTCCCCACCCCAAAAATATTTCGCAAATTGTCCTCCGCTGCGTATAAGCTATCCAGTATATATGAAGTGATCTTGTTTGTACGAACCGTGTAATTTCGGTAGCATCAGTACTATCATCAAAACTATCGCCACTGTTGTCAGAAAGACGACCAAATTGACTGGTGTACAATTTTCCTGTGATCTTTATAACTTGATCTGAAAATACAGTGTGAATGTTCTTTATGCAATGTGATTCACCTTCATTATTGCAAACTACCTACCGCCGATGTAGCCACTGAATGATGCAGGCATTCTTTTTCCGAAGCTTTGTTTTCCGGATATATGTTCAATAGCAAAGAACAAAACAATTTGCTTTTCACCTTGTCCATGTCTCATAGTATATATAATAATGAAGAATAGGGATGAACTTTATTTCTTGAGAGGTACAAACGTTTACAGTTTACACTGACAAAATCGTCTACCTCATTGTATATATTGTATATATAATATACACATTGTATATATACACGATTTTGTACCTCACTGAAAAAATCGTGTACCTCATTGTATAAAAAAAAACACCAAAAAACAAAACAAAAAATCCCCATCTTTTTGGACTTCATTTATATGTTATTAATATCTAACCTATAACAATACCCGCCCAGATTAGCTTATGCTATTTGCGGGTGTGTTAATTTATGTAAATATCAACCTATATTAAATGAATAAACATTGAATAAACATAAACATTATATTCAATTTTTGTACCTGGTAGGCCGGCCTGTATATCGATATTCGTAATGGATGGTGTTCTCCACCTTTGGAACTGTAAATTGACAAATTGGCATCTTAAATATAACCCCACCTGCGTACATAACATCACAATCTTTCATAAAAAGAATTTTTACAAATTGTAGAATTATTCAACAATGATAAACGTCTTGCTGAAGGAATTTGTAGATGGAAATTTCGAATGGAATTTTTATACATTTATTGTCGACGTAACCAGGGGTGAGGGGTTAGAATGGGGTGAGGGGTTAGAGGGTGGGGTGAGGGGTTAGAGTGGGGTGAAGGGTTAGAGGTGGGGTGAGGGGTCAGAGGGTGGGGTGAGGGGTTAGAGGGTGGAGTGAGGGTTAGAGGGTGGGGTGAGGGGTAGAGGGTGAGGGGTGGGGTGGGGTGAGGGTCAGGTTATCAGTGTGTCTGTACGTTGATATACATCGTACAAACGAAGAGTATGTATTGTATATTTAATGATAACTCACATAAAATCTACAAGTGCCATAGCAATAGGTATGACGATGTCCCCCGCCCAATGGTTCACCATTGACTGTGATTGAAAGTGAATATGTGTCTCTCTCGTGGCCTGCTGGAGGTCTCCTAAGAAAAATAAAAAAATATAAAAAGATTAGGCTAGCCGAGAGGTGGGGGGACTTTTCCCCGGGCCAACAAATGCAATAAGAGGAGGTGGAAACACTTATGAAAGTAATAATAATTTATGATAAGTTAGAAAAAATGTTAAGTACAATTTAAGTTTACAATGTAAGTTATATTATTTGTAATATATGGGCATAGTGAGGATTTTGATAATAAAAAAGCAATGAAGGCCCTTGATACAAGATTGCTTAAGTGAGAATATAAATCTTAGCTGCGGTAAGGCCGTGTTACACGGTGCAATTTTTCTTGCACCTTGCAATGCAGTTCTACTCTTGAGAGATGTTAATTAGTGAAATCAGTGAAGAATTTTCAATATGTTGAGAAAACATCAGCGGAGTGTAATGAAGACTCGCATTTGGCAATTTTACATCTCTCACGAGTAGAATTGCATTGCAAATTGCAAATTGCAAGAAAAATTGCACCGTGTAACATGACCTTTAGTGCCGAATAATATGCAATGAAGTGTCATGAGTCTCGAGAATCGAACCCACAATCTCAAAAATGAAATGCTCTTGCTCGATAACGACAATTTCTACGCTTCCAGTGAAGGACCTCTATCTTAAGTAGTCTTGAAGAGCGAAGCTCTTGTTATATCAGTCAGGTAGATTGAATCTCTAATGGCTCAAGGATATGAATAAAATTTACCCCAATTCACATGAAATTTTCGTAGTAGATGTGTCAGTTTGTACCACAGCACAAGGCATTGTGACTCCATCCCTTCCTGTGAGGGTCACCACATTGCCCAATGTTGGATCATCAAACGCAAACTGGTCACCAGAAAAACCTACACACATAAAATAATTTCTTAGATTGACTTTCTGAGACTATATAGAGAGTTATGTTTTAGTCTGTGGGACTAAGTAAACATCACATGTGGAGCCAATTTATGCAGAACTAAACTTACTTTATTTATACTGATTTAGCTCTAGCAATTCTAACCTGTTCTTCCTACAGATCCAGTAATGGTTATCTCTTAATGATTCAGTGTTTCAACAGAAGGAAGCCTGGACTAAACTAAACTAACTCCATCTATATACCGGATAGCTCTATCAGTTCTAAACTGTTTTCCCCAGAGGTCCATGCAGTAAGGATCATCCCTTATTGATGCAGTGTTACTACAGGAGGAAACCTAAACTAAACTAACTTTATTTACACTTGATAACTCTATCAGTTCTAAACTGTTCTTCCTAGAGGTCCAATCAGGGTCATCTCTTAATCACACATGTAGTAACAACCTCGTTCCCAGGCTTTTCCCTGCAGCAACGACTGTCCCATCTGAACCCCTTATAATATAAATATAATGAAATTCAGTTACCTTTGCCATAGATCCTGAGCATTGTCCCTCCCTCGAGACTTAGCCAACGTGTGTTGAAATTTCTTACATTTCCCTCTAAATTGCAGGACACAACAAGAAATATGAAACAGCTGCTACTGGAATTGGAATTTCACTAAAATAATACCATATTATACAAAGGTAAAGAGACTTCACTTACGCGATGCTGGTACTACGCCATTGTCTTGTCCAAACACTACAGTGGAAAGATCGAAATGTGATCAAAGAGAAAAAGCATGACTCGATGGAGTGAAGCTTTATCCATAGTCGCCTGGTGTACACTATCAAAGATTCTGTGATCACAGTCAGAATTTTGCATCGGTAAATTCTAAGTTTTGAAGGGTTTGTAAGAAATGTTGAGGGAAAGTGACTCAGTGTTTAACACTGATTCAGTTCCCTCACAAATTTCTTACAAATCCTTCAAAACTTGAAATTTCCCCATGCAAAATTCCTACTGTGATCACATTCTTACTGTGACAATGTAAACCAACTGCCCTAAAAGGCTAATTCAAAATTCAAAATGGGTGCTTCAAAATTTCAACACTTAGGGGCTGATTACATGGACCGAGCCAGCCCGGTTGACCGGGCTGAAAAATGTCACGAAAATCTTCCTTGGGCCGCAAAATAAGTTTTAAATCGGGTTTAGGATGATTTTGCATCTATACTAAACCAATTATTTATCGCAAATTTATTTTACACGAGTTTTAAAACCACAGTAAGGTCCTAAACAAACGAGTCAGCCCGGTTAACCGGGCCAGCTCGGCACCATGTAATCAGCCCCTTAGTTGAATTAAGAGTCAGCTAGAGGTCGACTCCAAAAATCACGTGGAGACCGTGGAAGTTATCTGTCTAAACATGAAGTTGCTGGCTGTCAAGTTGAAAAATTCTTGACCACCTCCACATAAATAATATCTGCGGGCATGGAGAAAACCAGGCAAAATAATTTTTCGTAATCAGTGGCGTGCTGGAAAGAGGGGGAGGTGCAGGGTGAGCATGTCCCCTCCTGCGAGGGATTTGAGAGGGCGCAAAAGCTTTTAGAGGGCGTCAAAACTGCATGAAACGAAACCAAAATTGTCCATTTTACTAAACTACTCTATATGCTTAGTTCTTCCAAAACTACTCTGTGTTAAAGGATGTTTCGAGACATTTTTGCTGGATAACATGAATTCTGAGGCTAGGAATAAATTTGTGTTAAAATGCTGATGAAACCACATGCATGGTTTTGATTTTTCCCGTTGCCCAGTGACGATTGTTCACAAACGAATAGCATGAGAACTTCCAGATGAAACAGTGTCCTGCGGTTTGACAAATCAGGCTTTTACCTCCCAGCGTGAGGCCGGGTTCCAACTGCGCTCAGGCTGCAGGTGGTATGCGGGTGGCATGCCGCCAGGACGTGGGTGGCCATTGGTATGTAGAGTGTCGGCTCCCTACCAGCAGCCAAGTGTAATCTACACTCTTTTGATATAAAAGTATTTAAGCGAATTTTCGACACCAAATCTAAATGATCACTTTTACTGTTTTACCAAATTAATTTGTTATGGATGACTATGAGTTTTGGCAAGATTGCATGTGCAGATGTAATCCAGCTAAATGTTCCCAACATGTTGTTTTTGATTTCATGTGTGGGTATATTTTAACAATCAAACAATAGATCGCCACATTACTGAGGATCTCGTTATAGAAACATGGATATGACAAAAATCTTTGTTACTCGGACACGGCATGATAAGTAGGTAGGCGGTCGATATACGGATATAGAATGCTTACATTTGCAAAACAATGTAATCTGATGTAAAATGCTTGGTCATGCTTCTTAAAAATAACTTTGAAGTCATTACGTATGATAAATCTATATTGAGCTATGGTTGGAAAGGTAAGCGAATCCAATGTGTTGATCACGCGTGTCCTTGAATTTGGCTCTTCCTTAGTCTTGTGTAGATGGGATTTAAGGATTTTATTAGGATTCGCACATTTATACATAAATACATAAAATATTACAGAAAACTAAATACCATAGATTACATTATAAGCGGTTATGAAAGTAACAGTTGTGCACAGTGATCAAAGTAGCCTAGGCTTTCGAGTTGACCACTGCAGTAAGTTAGTTAAACTAGTTCACTAGGAGCGAGATAGATGATTTGAGGTATTTAATTTTGTGAAAAAAGTAAAAAGTGCGCGAATTTTTTCGGAAAAAATTCGCGCACGCAAAAATTAGTGCATGAGAGTTGAGAGTCACGCGATCTTGGTTAGCTGTTCTTAATGCTTTCCCAACACTATCATGTATACTATTTTGGTTAAAACATAGTTAGAACACTCATCAGACCTTTATTTTGTTAATCTATATAGAGCTTGAAATGTCCCCTGTAACAATGGGTGACTGACAACTCTCATTAACTCTCAGCCTCGTTTCACCAGAGCTTAACACGCATTTGTTGCACGCATTCAAAAATGCACAATTTGTTGTAGGCTTGCAGCAGGCTTGCTGTAAAGTTGCTTATATCCGGATGTTTTTTTTTTCACTACTTGTTCCCAGTGTGTTGACAAATTGTCATGCATGCCTTGTTACAAGCTTAAACACACAACCTGTTGTAGGCTTGCAGCAGACTTGCTGTAAAGTTGCTTATATCCGGATGTTTTTTTTTCACTGCTTGTTCCCAACGTGTTGACAAATTGTCATACATGTCTTGTTACAAGCTTAAATGCACAATTTGTTGTAGACTAAAGTTGCTTACATCCGGATGCGTTTTTTCAGTTTCACTGCTTGTAGTCCCAGCGTGTTGACAAATTGTCCGCATACATGCCTTGTTACAAGCTTGCTCCAACAAGTGAATACAAGGTTGTGTTTGCGCGGCTTGTTTCCAGCTTATTGACTCAACCATCAAGGTTGTTGTAAGAAGCTGACATTAGGTTGTCTGTTCGCATTGCTTGTCAGGCCAGTTTGTTAACAAGTTGCAGTACAGCTCCGTGGCAGAATTGGCGGTTTTTAACTGCAGAAACATGTTACCGAAATGCTTGCAACAATTTGTTATCAGTAACGGTATAGAAGCTGCATTTCTCAGCATCTTTTTACATACACTTCGTGGGCGAGAGTTATTAACGAAGAGTTGTTTAAAGACTAAATTTTCATCTAAAGTAAATTATCTCAGCATGGTGAAATTTCTCATATATATAATGCCATTAGCAATTTAGCATTGATAAGCAATTTAGCGTGTCGTAGACAATACTGCCCACTCGTTATATGTTGCAATATTAGAAAGTAGATGTATATGTAGATAGATTTGTTTTTCATGCCAAAAAAAGAGTAAAACTAATCTTAAAAAGTAAACTATATAACTTCGTATATACATGCATAGCTCCAGTTCTAAACTGTTCTTCCTCTAGGTTTAGTAAGGTCCATTCTTCAATACTCTGGTGTTACTACTGTTACAGGAAACTTAAAATAAACTCTGTCAGATCTAAACTGTTCTTCGTCTAACGATAGTAAGGCCCATTGTTTATACAGTATTACTATACATGGGAGCCTAACCTAAAGATAAACTAACTTTATTTATACTGGATAGATCTATCTTCTCGAGGTTTAGTAAGATCCATCCTTTAATGATCTTTATACTGGATAGCTCTGTCTTCTCGAGGTTTAGTAAGATCCATCCTTTATTGGATAGCCCATCTAAAGGTCCATTAAGGCTCATTGCATAATTATACTGTTTATTTCTACTGGATAGCTTTATCAGATCTAAATGTCCATACGTCAACGGAAACTCAAAAAAATTTCATCATTTCATTATCAACGTTTTGATATTAAAACGAAAATAAAACGAGTTTCCATTATTTTGTATTTTATTAAAGTCTAATGCCCGTATTCTAAAAGCTCACTCACACTCAATGAGTGGAAGTTCAATCTGAGCTTCTCTCGAGTGTCATTGCTGTTTTTGAATAGCTGGAGGGTTAGTGTCGTACCTTACTATGTGACTACTCACTCTCGAGCTATTCAAAAACTGACACTCAAGAGAAGCTCAGATTGAACCTCCACTCTTTGAGTGTGAGTGAGCTTTTAGAATACAGGCGTAAGTGTTTACACACCAAACGCTCAACAACACTACAGTAGTCATTAGGGTAATGTTTCCTCTCAAAATCCACAAATCTCTATAACTTATCAACAAGAATACACGCGATGATAATAAAATCTATGTTATAATAATAATTATCTTACCAGCTGTAAATGCTGTCGAAATCACCAGTACTTGTAAAAGCATCTCGTAGACGTTTGACGTTTCTTGCCTGACCTGTCAGTTTTCGTTGACCATGCTAAAGAGAAACGAATCATCTGTATGTTTTAGGAATTAAGAAAGTAAACATAGAAAGAGTGTCCGTAATTGACTTCTAAACTTTGTGAATGGGATTAAACTGCACGAATTAACCTTCAATTGTAACATTCCGTTAATTAGAAGTATTAAGGAACATAAAAAATTGCTAGGGTTCACCGAATATATATATATTGCCGAAATCGAATGTCACCATCTATCGTAATTGAATAATATGTTGAATTAATGTCTACTTGATGTGATTATTATGTACACTTAACGATCTACTTACCAGCCAACTCGCAAGACAGGTTGAAATTGATGTCTTTTTGTTCGTGCAGTGTTATGTTATATTCGAGCTCACAACATCATGTTGAGATTTGAAAATAAGCTTTTTTGTTTGATTTATCATTTATGTACAGGAATGAACTGTGCTTTTGTTTCGAAATTACCTCCTACACACTGTGGTAACGAGGTTTTGCATAACAATTAGGAACTTGTAGCATTTGTTATGTATTGTCATCCTGAAAGAGTTTGCATTCAATTTGCCACAATTGGGTAATTTTTGCTCGGATTTCAGTTGTCTCTAAGAAGTTTCCTCCGCATGGAGGTTTTTTTATCCACGTTTCTGTGTGTTTGTGTGTCAGCCGACACGTCGAGTTCGTTGACGCAATCGTCAGAGCAAGCACATCGTTCCCGGACTCCGATTCTCGCTACGGACTCGTGACATTTGTGTGAAAACTGAGTCCGTCAAGGCTCAACCAAAAGTCGTTGTTTTTCTTCGGGTACTCGGGTTTTCTCCCACAAGGAATGTTGACAGGGTGGGTTGGAATTAACCCCTACTGGCCCTTCCATCATAGCCGCGCACCGTGATATGACACGAGTCATAAAGTGGCTGCCAGAGGCGCCCTTAGAAAGCCTTCGACTCGATCAGATTGAGCTTCGTCCTTCGTAATTCAGCTTAGCTCTCAGCTGCACGTAAAGATGATTAGCACACCCCACTTAATACTCAGTATGCAAAATATCGAAAGTGCATTGCCCATGCAAATTATCAAGTGTATAAAAATTTTCAATCGAAACGACAGAAGTTCCAGCGTATTCTTCATCGTGCTCTGACGTGCTTGCAGATTCCAAATACATTTTTTTCCATGGCAGGTGTGCAAGTTGGTATTCAGAAACCGCCCGCGTGAAGGAAATCTCGGAAGGTAGGATGATACTTTAAATATACAAACTTCCCGAAATTATCGACCTTACTTCTAGCTCACGTCTCACACACGAAAACGAGGTTCTACAGACTGATTCAAAAAATAGGTGTCACTAGAGACCTTACGATTTTAGGACGGCAACGGCTACCAATACAATAGATCATTGAAAAGAATTGAGTATTTACAATAAATGAATAATTTAGACATTGTCCTCGCTCTGTTTACAACGCCAAATCACATATTTTCACGTGTTGATATAACGGCTGCATTCCAAGCCACAACAAGTGCAACTTCAAACTGGGTTTAGCAGAACTCTTCCCAACCATAAAACCCATGTCTTCAACTTCTAAGACTGTATTAACTATCGACTACCATTTATTTGAAGGAGTTTGTTTTGGCCGTCGCCGTCGCGTTGCCGTCCTAAAATCGTAAGGTCTCTAATGACTTACTTCCGACGGTCTTGCATTTATGCAAAACATCGAACGTGCATTGCCGATGCGAATTATCAAGTGTATAAAAAATTTCAATGAAAACGACAGGAGTTCCAGCGTATTCTTCATCGTGCTCAAACGTGCTTGCTTGCCGATTCCAAATGCATTTTTTCCCACGGTAGGTGTGCAAGTTGGTATTCAGAAACCGCCGTGAATGTCAGGACATGAAGGAATTCTCGGAAGGTAGGATGATACTTTAATTATACAAACTTCCCGAAATTATCGTTTTTACTTCTAGGTTACGTCTCACGCACGAAAAAGAAGTTCTATAGACTGATTCAAAAAATAGTTGTCACTGTTTTTTCTCCCAAAATTAAAGAATTACTTCAACCAAGGTAATCATTGCGGCCTTATATAAGGGACCGGTCATTATTTATGGCTGGGGGTGGCACCGAAGAGAAAAGGGTTGGGTAAACAAAATTTTGAGTAAGTAAAAGGTTGGGTAAATGAAAAACGAAACAACTCAAAGGTTGGGTAATAAAAATTTATTATCATTTCCAAAGCATGACTCACTCAAATATTGAAGACTGAAAACTTCAATGAATGTCAACAGTCATATGTCAATACAATCTGTAAATCAATCTATATCTTCATCATTTTCCGGTTTGTTGGGAGACAAATGGTGTCTCCAAAGAAAGTAAATGTGCAGACAACATGAAACTTTAGACTGCAGAAAAGTCAGTAAATTTCACAAGCCGAACGTTATCAAACTATCAAACATTCACAAGCCGAACGTTATCAAACGTATCACAGAAGTGGTAAAGGACTTGTGTCATGTGTGACAACTGAATGACATCCTTTTGTAACGTTTTTAGTGTGAAGTTTCACTTCACACTATTGTGATGGCTGGCGAATTCACACGAATCAGTCAAACAGTCAGTCAGTCAGTCAGTCAGTCAGTCAGTCATAGAGTAAACTTTCCGGGGGGTGTATACGATTTATGTTCGTAGTGATTTATTGTACTTAGTCAGTACTTTGAAGGTTATTTAGGCAATTTCAGTTAACTTATTTACATATTCTGTTATCCTTTTGCCAAGTTCACAAAAATTTCGGGGAAACGCTTTCGTTATTGTATTTTTTTATAAATTTTAGAACATTCGCTTCTCATGTTGTGTAAAGGATCTTTACCCCGGAACACCCGATTTTTTTTAGTAGCGCAAATGCGCATGCGCTATCAAGCCGTAGATCACGATGGCGTGACGATATGCTAGGAAGGAGTGACAGTGTTGTTTTCAAATGTATAAAGATTTCAGACGTGAATATTGTGTAAATCTTTGAAAATCTACGCAATATATAAATTGATCTTATGAATTACGGGCGTTCAATTAAGTGCCGATAATATTTAGACGGTATATTCATTATACAGAGCTAGGAAGGAGCTAGACCGCCTAGACAGTGCAGTCAAGTGTGTAAACATTTCAGACGTAAATATTGAGTCGAATATCTTGATTCTAGGCATTCATTTGAGTGCCGATATTATTTTCACGGTATTCTCATTATATAGAGGTACAGTACGTAGGCAGAAACGAGACAGTGTTGTTTTCAAGTATATAAAGATTTCAGACGTGAATATTGAGTAAATCTTTGAAAATCTACACAATATATAAATTGATCTTATGCATTACGGGCGTTCAATTTAATAAGTGCCGATAATATTTAGACGGTATATTCATTATACAGAGCTAGGAAGGAGCTAGACCGCCTAGACAGTGCAGTTAAGTGTATAAACATTTCGGACGTAAATATTGAGTCGAAAATCTTGCTTCTAGGCTTGAGTGCCGATATTATTTTTTCACGGCATACTCATTATACAGAGGTACAGTACGTGCAGGCAGAAGCGAGACTGTTGTTTTCAAGTATATAAACATTTCAGACATGAATATTGAGAAAATATTTGAGATTCTACGCAATAATAGTAATACAATATATAAATTGATGTGATGCATTACCGTCGATATTATTTAGACCGTGTATTCATTATACATTCTCATTGACTGTATAAGGTGCTACATCAGGGGTAGCAAATCTTCGAGTTAAGCCCCTCGAGTTAAGCCCTTCGAGTTAAGCCCCGACCACGCCCTTTCGAGTTAAGCCTCGACCACGCCCATGCCACGCCCATGCCACACCCATTTCCGTTGAGGACTTAACTCGAAGTACATAACTGGAGTTAGGTACTTCGAGTTAAGCCCTCTAGAAAATAGAGGCTTAACTCGAGGAGAGTCAAACATTTTGTTCTTCGAGTTAAGCCTTAACGTTTGAAAGATGTAAACGAGTTACGGTTAATCTGATCCCAAACAAATTAAATTGTCATTTGGCGTTTCGTTCAATCACGGTTCAATACGTTTTATTTCAGCCGACGTATTATATATATTAGGGACTTTAAGATCGACGTTTACGGCAAACCGCTAACCGCAAACTTCAAATCGTAGTTTGAAGTCAACTGTTAGCTGCTCGAAGTTAGAACTTGTGCATAAAAATTGGAGTATGATTTAGCTACTTTTAGCTAATAAAGGAATAAAGATCGACCCTTTCTGCCGTAAAAGTCAATCTTGAAACATTATCGAATTGTATACCGGTGTCCCAACAAACACCGGACTCTGTTTGATTTCATGTAACGTAAAAGCTATAAAAGCTATCGCAGATTCGCAATGAAATAAAGATCATTGCATTCATAATGAACTAACTTAGATTTTGATTATGGTTCTTACAACTATTCAAGACTTCATTATATGGAACGATTTCATTAGACTACACACATTTCAAAACGGAAAGCGGTCGCAAAATGTCGATCGCCCCACAAGTTGCGAAATGCAAATCTACCTTAAATACCGGGTGTCCCCCCAAAAAACTGGACACTATTTGATTTCATGTAACGTAAAAGCTATAAAAGCGATAATGCATTCAGAAATGACTAACTTCGACTTTGATATATAGCACTTAAATTTACATGTAATATTGACTGCGCTTTTGATGTTTGAACGTTGAACTACTGTTTTTGAAAATGCAAAAAATTAGCATAAAACAACACTTATAATTATAATTACTGATGTAATTATAATTGTTAATTTTTATGCACAAGTTGCTCTATAAACTTCGAACAGCCAACAGTTGACTTCAAATTACGATTTGAAGTTTGCAGTTTGCGGTTTGCCGTAAACGTCGATCTTGAAGTCCCTGATATATATAATACGTCGGCTGAAATAAAACGTATTGAACCGTGATTGAACGAAACGCGATCCAAATGATAATTTAGTTTGTTTGGGATCAGATTAACCGCAACTCGTTTACATCTTTCAAACGTTGGGGCTTAACTCGAAGAACAAAATGTTTGACTTTGCTCGAGTTAAGCCCCTATTTTCTAGAGGGCTTAACTCGAAGTACCTAACTCCAGTTATGTACTTCGAGCTAAGCCCTCGACGGAAATGGGCGTGGTTTGGGCGTGGTCGGGGCTTAACTCGAAAGGGCGTGGTCGGGGCTTAACTCGAAGGGCTTAACTCGAGGGGCTTAACTCGAAGATTTGCTACCCCGCTACATCACAGAATAGATGGCTATTGAAATCTAAAGTGATATTTATATTCAACACATGCGAAAAGCTGAAAATAGACACACGTCACACTGGGAAAAGTCAAAGGTCAATGAAACTTGTTATTGTGAAACATGTCACAATTAAGTTAAAATGCGGAAGCGGATGGAGCGGATTCACGGAACGGATATGCGGATAAAATACGGAACGGATGAGGATAAAATGCGTCTTTTAATGATGTAACGACGTAGTGCTTATTATTCATAACATATCTTATACAGCTATTTCAATTATAGTTTATTAGATAAATTTAGCATAGCAGTAGCCTCGTGGGGATGCTTTCAGCGACAGCTGCAAATGCAAATGAAATTTACAATATGCAAAATTTGGTTGTTGGTGACACAATAAATAGATGAATTGCATCAGTTTCACAAGGCACGTTTCTGATGTGTTAGGCTTGTTTCAAACGTCACGCTACTCGTGTGCCGAGCGTATTAAAAGCAATAAATAATGAGATGAAATGCCTTTGGTAACTGTTTATTTCGTAGTGTAAGCCATCAAGCTTTTCTAGGTTGTCGGCGACCCTATATAGTTCTTGCAGTTTGAAACTTCACACTATCCTTGGATCCCTAGTTGACCAGGGGTGGGTATTTATTTTTTAAATGATACTTGAGGTTGGGTAATCAAATTTTTGATTTTTTAATGGTTGGGTCAGCAAAATTTTTGCCACGAAAAACATTTCTCTTCGGTGCCACCCCCCACCATAAATAATGACCTGTCCCTAATACTTCAAGACAGACTCCAACAGTTTTACAAAATATAAATATAATACCATGTATCCTCTTTGAGAAATTAAGTGTTAAAAATACCGACGTTTATGCTAATTTAGCAGGCAAGCCTGACTGTGCAACCTCGTTCCCAGACTCTTCCTCCTGCGCTCTACAAGAGAGAAGACCCTGGGAACGAGGTTGAAAATTCTTGTCGTACCCAGAGCATGCCCGTTCGCAGGTTAGGGGTTTGGGAGTATATTAACAATCAAATGTCAAGTCCTCCCCAAATATTTTGAAATTTATAGGACGTACTTTCACATTTGGGATTTTTGCACATTAAGTACCCTTGGGTTTTTAAAGATTTCTAATTCAATAGTGGTAATAAAAATCAGGATAACAAATATAGCAATGGATATACATGTATAATTATAATTAGGATATATAATATTGTTGGTATATATTAAGAATAATATACTTGGTAAATGTACTTATACTATATTAATATTGTGCACAGTCCAGCCGTGGTATATTGTTCTAATATGCGATGTACTTTGTGAATAGTATAAAGTGGGCTTTAGAGGACTTTCTTAAATTGAAATTTTGCAATTTAATGTTTAAAGCAGAACTGCCAAAACAGTTGCAAGTTTCCTTACCCTTGGAAAACAAATCTAAAGAAATAAGTTGTTATTTTTATTCTATTCCACCTATAGTTGCCTCAGAACACTGTCCTCCGCAGAGCCGTATGGACTATAGTTAAACACAATGGTTAAACACGAAGGCTAGCTATATATAGTTAAACACGCGGGCTATATACCCGCAAATTATGAGGCACGCGGGAAATTTGCATGATGAATGAAAGATACGTGGATTTTTGTCATTCTTCCCTTCCTCCCCCGAGGGCGTTCACCAATTACCTGAATGCCTTACATTTTCCGGGTATAGCTCATTACAAAGCTAGCTTTCGTGTTCATTTATACAGCTGTACGGAGGAGAGTGGCCTCAGAACGTGTTGTCCTTCGTCTACTTTGAGACCACAACACGGTGTAATTTTGTTATATCAAATAAACTTTGTATGTGCAAGCTAAATATTCTACTTGTGCTGTATGTTAGAGAGTTTGGCAGCCGACAACGGCAAAGGCAGAAGACAAAATTACTTAGATTTTTGCATGCGACCCAAAGTATGCATTACAGTAAACTTACGTAAGCACTTGCTATAATACTCATATTTCTTGGCAAACAACCCTTAAAAAGCAATAGTGAATTCACATAAAACCACCCCACACGACTTTTAACGTTCTTTGGCGTGACTATGAGCCGTATCAATGACGTAAACAACGTAGCAGTTTGAAGAATTATGACGTACTAGAATGCTCAAGAGAATACAATTTATAGTCGCCTTTGTCTTTGAGTAAAATTGTATTGACGTCACGTCTTCATTGACGTTTGCCGTTGTATCAGCCAAACTTTGGCTACGTTTAAGCCGGTTTTCCACTTCAAGCGTACCGTACCGAAACGTATCAAAAACGTTTTTAAATTTCAAAATTTCGTGAATGTTGATTGGTTAGTACTTCCGTAGTACGCCAAAAAGTTGACTTGCGACAAACTTTTTATTTTGATACGCGAATACACCCGGAAGTACGTGGATTTATAAACCTCTTTTCAATCTGCGCATGCTCACCAGTACATTTCGCTACGATGCGGGCGAAGTGGAAAACCGGCTTTAGAGTAAAATTGTATTGATGTCACGTCTTCATTGACGTTTGCCGTTGTATCAGCCAAACTTTGGCTACGTTTACACTATACTAGATAGCTTTCCATAGCGGCCCGACAAAGCACCTATCCATGCAGGGCGCTTATATATATATATAAGCGCCCTGCACGTATCCGATACGGAATGTACAACTTTCAGAAGCTGAGCGAAACAACATCTCTCGGGTAGATGTTTTTTCACGTCGCTACGGAAAGCTGTCTGATACAATGTAAACGTAGCCTTGAAGAAACATGTTTGCATTCCGGCTGCAGTAACAACTGAGTCCACCATTTAGTCCGATACAGAAGCGCTTTGAATGTCAGTTAGTGATTGCCTCAACAAGTCCAAATTTGGCTGACACATTGCATCGTGGGATTTCTCGTCTTTCTCCCGACATGGCAGCGAGCAGTAGCCACGTAATGCACATTTTGTGCACCAGATTGAAGCGATCTTGCCACATGGACAGAAATGAATCCAGGCATCTGAACAGAAACAAAAAGTAGTTAGGAGTGTCGACTCCACAATGGTTTAGCCCGGTCAAAAGGGTATGAGAGTTGATGAGAGTTAAAACTCTCGCTCGCGTTTCACCAACTCTCGTCTCTCAATTCGCACTGACTTTGAACTGGTTGGTAATATCCATTCAGCTATAATCAGCTCTTATGCAAGTCTTGTTCTCGTTTGACGACTGCTATTCCTGTTCATCAGTTCAGGGCGAAATTTGAAATGTGACATTTACGCCAGGATAAGAAACGTTTACGACTAGTCGTGTAGTTTAGATGGGCCTTTAAGTAACACGGTTCTATGTCAGAGATTGCCTTGCAATTGCAGCAAACATGGACTGAACACGTCAAGAAGAACTGGGGGAAGCAGGCATTTAGCTACCATAAATGCTGCCAACGACTGGCACAATCTGCATGTGGAACTCCGGAATATACGTCAAATTAAAACTTTTAAAACTAGACTAAAGAAACATCAACATAGGACACTCTACTGAACTGATAGGATACGCTAGAACTTTATATTATATAACTTTTCATATATTCACTTTTGTTAGTTTTATTTTATTTTTTAATCAGGTTTCCACTGAAAATCACTTTTTACTCACCGGTGCCACGGACGATCTTGACTTTAATATAAGCTTTGAAAATCCTTGCTACGCTCAACTCTTCTTCTTTGTAAGGCACGATGTTGTTGAAATCATTATCAACAAAAACAAAATGTTTTCCTTTTACATCTGGCAACGTCTTGAACTGTCTGTTCAGTTTTTCTCTCAGTTCCTTCAATGTCCACTGCATGTTGATGTTCATGTCGCAGAGTTTGTGGAACAGGCGTCCTTGATCGGGACGCACTAAGTTCACCTGCATTTTACGGTAGCCACCACCTGTGGGGAATGGATTTTAAGTTTAGCTTAATATTTGGGACCTTGAAGCTTGGCTCATACCAGCAAGATTAGTACAAGCAGGAATACAAAAGAAAATTACGGAGCCTAAAATTTGAGAATGTCATTAAACGCACAGCTTTCTTTTGTAATAAGTTCAAAGGGTGCAAAGTCGTAAAGTCGTGTAAGATACGGATATATCAATGAATAATATAATTCAAATTGTATTAGTATTGGGAGTGTGACGTAATTGCAAAGTATTCCAATACTTCTTTAAATCTTTTTCGAAATATACAGTATATGTGATTTCCAAGTGAGAATCAATGCGGATTCCTAGATGCTTAATAGAATCCTCTTCCAGAAGCATATTATTTATAGATAATTGAAATGTCTTTTGTTCTAGAATTGGCTAGTTTAGAGAAAATGACATTACCCCCATCTTACCTCTATATTCATTCACAAAGCCAGCTGGTGCGACGTCTTTCGACCCATCGTAGATAGGATTCAGTTTCATACTGCTTCTTGATTGTGGTCTCTCGTTCATTGGCTCTCCGGCTAGAGTGATCGGAGTGACCGGCATATCCACGATGATTCCCGAAGGCGTGTTCGGGTAGCTTCGGGGCTGACCGGACTGAGGTCGGAGCTCAAATTGAGTCCAATCTGTTTGTGGGTTGCTATGGTTACTATGACGTGACATTCCAGTAGATGGTCTTGAGCCGTGATGTGAGCTTGCATGGGATGGTGGCCTGGGGTGTTGGCCGCCTGGCTAAAGTGACAAACACATGGCATATTATTAGTACTGATGAAGATACGGGCTTATTGATGCAGGACATTCAAAGATTGTATACCTCCGCCAGCGAGTTATGCATAAATTATTCAATGGGCTAGGACAACTTGCATGTTAGACTAAATTTTAATCTAAGTAAAGAGAAGGGAATTAAACACAACGGTTAAAAAGAACATAATGAAATTAGTAAAATTGCAAAATTTGGTTGCGAAATGTTGTAAAATACAGAAAATATAGCCTTGCGAAGTTTGCATATTTTCAATATATTTGTATTACGTTCGGAAATTGTTACCATTTTCGGCTCAAAAATGGTAACAATTTCCGCACGTAATACAAACATACTGAAAATATGCAAACTTCGCAAGGCTATGTTTTCTGTATTTTACAACGTTTCGTAACCAAATTTTGCAATTTTATTGATTTTAATAAGCTCTTTACGAGAATTTGCTTTTTTTGCCTAAATCAAAAATTAGCCTAACATGCAAGTTGTCTATTACACATTCAGTGTTCCCTACCAAGCAGATCTAGACAAGTCTTGACAAAAATTTCATCACAGCTTGAAAGAGCATCACAAAATTAGTAATATTCCGAAGTTTCGTTGCGAAATGTTGTAAAATGCGGATAATATAGCCTTGCGAAGTTTGCCGTTTTTCAGTCATTTTGCATTACAAACGGAAATTGATAATCAATTTGATCATCTGATTATCAATTTCCCATTTGTAATCTAAATGACTGAAAAACGGCAAACTTCTCAAGGCTATATTATCCGCATTTTACAACATTTCGCAACGAAACTTCGGAATATTACTAATTTTGTGATGCTCTTTCAAGCTGTGATGAAATTTTTGTCAAGACTTGTCTTGATCAAAATCTCACTTAAAAGGGGAAAGGTCTATTAGCGAAACGGTCCATTAGAAATTAGCTGGGAAAATGGTATTAAAACTGTTTACGTTTATTGGATATCAATGGCCGCCATCTTGACTTCACTTTTCTCATAGACCGAATGACTGAAGTTCTTGCTCTAGATATATAGAGCTCAGTGCAGCAAACTGACTACATACCATTGGTTGAATACTGCGATTACCCATGCTCAGAGTTGATCCCAGACGTGTTTCCTTCTTGCGTGGTTCAACAATGATGGCTGTACCAGGCCTGGAGCCATGACCATACCAATTCTTCATCTCATACTCCGGTTCGTAACCTCGGTTCATGGATGTTCGTCGCACGGAATCTCTTGATTTACGCTTCTTTGAATTGCAAGCGAGAATAATGATGGCCACAATCACCACTATAAATAAAGCGCCCAGGATTGATCCCACTGCTAGTGGTACCTAGAGACGATGGAAGATAATTATTTATTCATGATGATGATATTATAAATGTGGGTTTCCTGAAGTATAAATGTACAATAAATTGTTGTAATTTGGGTCACAGAAGTGGGTAGGCTCCTGAGGAAGGATTAGGGGTCGAATTCCGAAGCGTTTTTACTATTTTTCTTGCAATTCTGACCCAAAACACAGCATAGTAACTTGCTGATGTTTCAACATAATGCGCAAGAGGATGTGAGCCTTGACCATATGGGAGCCTCGTTTTCGTGATTAAGTGGTTGGGCTTAACGAATGTCACATTTCGTCAACCTTCGTCACCCTTCGCTCGAAACGTCGAAGTTCTCCTTGTATTTTTCAGGTAGTTGTATCCCTATTAATCCGAAGTTTTGTTATTATTGCCACAACCTACACTGGCACAAACTGTTCTGTATTAACATAAATTGAAACTAACAATAGTGTTTGAAACTATCAATAGTTTTTACTTACCACTATGGAATCATCGTCATCTTTGTCGGAACCAGCTTGATATGTTTCGTCATCAGCTTTCATTTTATTGCTCGAATAAGCCTCGCCATTGAAACTCACCGTCAGTCCTTGGTTAGATGTGACTTGATTGGCTAACTGGTTCACGACATTTGTAACATTCGACGATGATGTGATCATATCAAATGTCGCAATTACGCTTCCTTCACGCAACTCGAAATGAACAAAAATAACCTCCGGATGATCCGACACCAGGGTGTTGTTCAATGCATTGATGAAGCTAGCCTCGTTCCCAAGTATCACCGTGTCGTAGTCTACATCCGGGAACGTGAGCTCGATGACTTTCTTTACTTCCGGGTCTTGTGTGTTACGTGGATGGAACGTGACGTCAACATGGACGGTCACTATCAGAGATCGCCGCTGGTCAGATGGAGCGTTGTCCTCGATTTTTACCCCAAGGTCATAATCTCTGGTAATGATGTAGTCTAGCTTTTTCACCAAGAAGACGACACCTGTATTATACAACAAAGTAGCAAGGTTGATGGCTGTAAACTCATAGTAAAGCCTCGTCTTAAATTGTTAACCTAGCACTACCAAGAACATTCAACAAATGCTTTATCTAAATGTTGTGGACATTTTTGTTAGTTTGTCAAATTCAAACCGGTTCATGTTTGCATAAAAATATGTAAAAAATATGAATGCTGTTTTGAAAGGTGAAAAAAGCAATGTGATCCTATAGCCTACATTATCGATAACTGGGCAATCTTCTGCTAAAATCTGGTAGAAATACAATGCGGTTCAAATCCATATTTAAGAACATTAGATGCCCTTGGGATTCATTGAATTAATGAACGTCGCGAATGCATCGGATATATTTTAAACATATATTCATCTATTCCATCACCTCTTCCAAATAACAAAATATCTTAACCGACATTCTGATAATCTATTTATATTCTTTCCCAGTATTTATCAAGTGCTTTTAATTCAACAAAATTTCGTACCTGTTGTTGCATTAATGCCAAAGCATCCTTCACCATTTCCACTTACAATGGAGTAACTCAATCTACCGTCTTCTCCGAAATCACCATCACTAGCCAACACGTTTCCTACCACGGTCAAAACAGCACTATCCTCTCTCACAGTTTGATTTATATTACCACTCACACTTGGTGTAAACTCGTTAATACTGATGATCTGAATATTCAACAGTTGCGAAGCGCTCTTCGATGGATTTCCTTTATCTTTAACCTGGATGGTTAATGCATGGCTTGCCTCTTGTGTTATCTCTAAATCCAACGACTTTGCAACTTTTATTGTACCAGTGGTTGAATCAATCTTAAACAACCCTTGGGAATCCCCAGAGCTTATATTGAAACTTAGAACCCCGTTTAGTCCTGGATCCGAATCAGTAGCGTTTGCTTGAGTGACCAACGTATTAACAGAAGAGTCTTCTCGTAAAGCCACAGTCGGGAAGCTTTCGGAAAACGTCGGATCGGTGTTCAAATGTCCAGAACTGTATGCGATTTCAAATTTGGCTGTGGTTAGTGTGTCTGTATAACTGGAAACAGGGTCGGTGCTTGTCTCAATACTCATTTGGTAGTTAGAACCCGATATATCGATACTCAAGTCAGTGAAAGTTGCCACACCGTCCATAAATTCGATTGTAGTACCACCTCCCAACACAGCACCATTGTTGTTTGGGTCTATTAAGGTAGCACTAGCATACCATTTTCTTCCCCTCCATCCTGTGTTCACGATTTCGTTGTTTGAAGAGTCTCGCGCCTCGATTTGTGGTTGTTGAGCCAAAGCTACCCCTTCATCCCCGCCACCTGGTTGTCGACTTATGACGAACTGTACTTGTCTCTCAGTTATATCAAACGGTTGAGACGATGCTTTGAAGTTGGCTGATTCTGGTTGCGAAATGTTGAAATCTAGTATGTACCCCGAACCGCTATGCGAGATGCTTAGCTCTGTAAAGTTAGCCCAGCCTTTACTGAATTTCACCGTACTGTTTCCAGTGATATTTGCGTCAGGGTGGCCCGTGCCTTGGCGTATGGTTGCCATAATAACCCATGCTCCGATTTCGCCATAACCTACATTATCCACAATATCGTTGTTTGCATCGCGCAAGCGTAGTTTAGGTTGTGTGGACATTTTCGCACCCTCGTCCCCGCCCGATGGTTGCTCGATGATTGAAAGTTGGTTAGGAATCTGGTAGACTGTTTCTTGGTCCTCATCGTTGATTTGGTTAGCTTCGTCGTAACGTAGGGTGTTGTTGTCTTGAACTACATAGAAAAAATAGAAGAAAGAATTTTAACGGCTTTTATACCTAGCCGATACCGGTCAAAACTTAAAACTGAACTTTATTTTCACGGATAGACGTACCCGTTCTAAATTCTACTCCCTAGAGGTAATACTACAAGAGAAAACCAAAACTAAACTAACTTTATTTATACTGGATAGCTCTATCCGTTCTAAATTGTTCTTACTAGAGGTCCAGAAAGGATCATCTCTTATTGATCCAGTGTTACTACAGAAGGAAACCAAAACTAAACTAACTTTATTCATACTAGTCTCACATATCTCTTTAGAGGTCCCGTAAGAGCCATCTCTTGTTTGTGTACTCTTCTCACATGCGACTGAAGCCACATTGTAAACAGATAACTAGATATTGTAGGAGTTCAACTTCGGTTACAGGGGTGAACGATACTAATCACTGTTCTGCAAATACCCGGCTTCAAAGTAAGGGAAAATGAACAAACCTGTTTCATTGGTTGCTCTCACTCCGCCGGTAGGATCCACAGGCTCTGGGACAGGTTCTGACATAGCGAATGATTGTACAGAGAAATTGAGTGATTCTTCAATTCCTCCTGTTTGAACTTGATTCACAAGATCACTCGCGAGACTCTCCAATTCTTCAAATGAAGTTGTGTTTGATACACCTGAAACAAAAATACAATATGGTCAAGAGAAACTGTTTCTACGAGAAACATTTCCACCATCTTGGCTTCACTTTTTAGACTCGAGTTCTCGGTCCGGATATATATGGTGCTCATTGAGTATGGCTAACCAACCTGTATAATTTGATGAAACTCCTTCGGTAGTATTGCTCACTGTGCTGTTATCATAGATATCTCCCTCGTCATACTCAATATTCGCAGCAGGCGGGTCACCAATCTCCAGTACCACAACCGTCGTGTCATCAACGGCTCTTCTTCGCCTCGCTCCGCCTGCGCTAATCACATTCATCACTCGTATCTTCGACTTATCAATGCCCAACAAAGCGGCAAGGTTTTCTACCAAATTTTCTTCGAAGAATTCGTCTATACTGATCGGTTTCACTCCAAGTTTAACCTAGAATGGTGAAAAGCATAGCGGGGCTAAATCTGAGAATCGGTCCTTTACTGTTCTGCTCCCTAGAGGTCCAGCAAGGGAAGAGAATTACATTAAACTAATTTTACTAAACTAAAATAACTTTATTCACACTGAATAGCTCTATCAGTTCTAGACTGTTCTTCCTGGAGGTTCAGCAAGGATCATCTCTTATTGATCCAGTGTTACTACAGGAGGAAATCTAAACTAAACTAACTTTATTTATACTGGATATCTCTATCAGTTCCAAACTGTTCTTCCTAGAGGTCCAGTAAGGATCATCTCTTATTGATCCAGTGTTACTACAGGAGGAAATGTAAACTAAACTAACTTTATTTATACTGGATATCTCTATCAGTTCCAAACTGTTCTTCCTAGAGGTCCAGTAAGGATCATCTCTTATTAATCCAGTGTTACTACAGGAGGAAATCTAAACTAAACTAACTTTATTTATACTGGATATCTTTCTCAGAGCAATTGTGGGTAGACTCGAACTGAAAACACTCCTCTCACATACGACTGAGATCAATTTTAAAACAAACAATTACAAATTCTAGGAATCGAAACTCTGTCCAGAAAAGTAGGGGGTATGTGTCACCTGGACGAGAAGGTCCATTGAATGGATACCTTCACTCTTAACCAATAACATATGAGTACATTTTTACCTGTATCACTGGAGATGTTCGTATATCAATTGGCTCGGAACCTCGAACAACAACATACAATAAGTTTGTGTCTCTGTCCCAATAATTTGCTCCACTGAAGCTGGACAGTTTCGGTTCGTACTGATCGTTTGGCAAGTTAGGGTTTTTGCGTTTCAAAGTGAATTCTTCTCCTGATAACTTTGCGTTCGTTGGATTAATATAAAGACCTAAAATAGGAAATGAATTGCTTACTTAAATGTTTCAAAACTTCTTTGAAATTATTCAAAATGGTGGTGATGATGATGGTGGTGATGATGATGATGATGATGATGGTGGTGATGATGATGATGATGGTGATGATGATGATGATGATGATGATGATGATGATGATGATGATGATGATGATGATGATGGTGATGAGGATGATGTTGCATACCTTTTCTGTAGATATCCAATCGTTGTGTCGTCTTGTAGTAGACTGCAAACCGTACAACTTTTTCTTTTTCAGCCAAAAGATGAAGACGCATTTTCTGTGGGTTGGTGTTAGTAAAGTAAACGGAATAATTTCTGTGCGAGGCAACAATGGCATAGAAAGTTGAAATCCTTTCCTGACAAGTGTAGCCAAGACACCAGCCATGATCTTGAGGACCGTTCAACAAGTTAATGTAGCTGTCGCCTGGAAAAAGAGATTCATCCTTCTGAGGTAGGATTATACATATATGTACTCATGATTCATAATTTTATAGCTTTGACGAGTAGGTACGAATCAGCACTCAGCTATTGCTATACGGGTTGAGGATTTTTATCGTTTTCCAATGCCCCTAGTTTTTCTGAAAGAACCGTTACATATTATACACGGGATAGAATTTATAATGATTGGAAATACTTGTTCAAAACTAGGCATTACCCGAGTGTTTGAGGTGTTTTAAAAGCGCTATAATAGTCGAATTTTGGGCAAGGAAGTGCTCGAATGGTCCAGAGACTCTAGCCTACCTACGGTTTGCCTAAAGGAGTGGAGAACCTGTAGGTTCCAGAGGGCACAGGTGAACCAGCTCGGTTGTGTGTTGAGGTGATCTGGTGACCAATATTGGTAAAAGGGACTCATGAGATACCTGACATGCAAAAACTGTAGGTAACATACGAGCCTCTAGATAACATGGAAAGTTATTCTTACCTAAGATAGCAACTGGTGACAATCTTCTTGTCTCAGTATCTGGATCTAAACTTTCAATAATGGCCATGTGGTGATCTATATTTGAACATTGATAAGCATTCCAGTCTCCATCCCAAGTGCATTTATTATTGCCTCTGATGATTCCTTTGTTTGGAAGATATGTGCTGATGTCAATACGAGATCCATCTGGATTTGTTTCGGCTGTCTTCGGAATTCTGTAGTCACCTGGTTTTTGTAAATAAAAAGACAATAATAAAGTGTGTGTAAGATAATTGAAATAGCAATGTAAGTCTAAGATTTTGTCGTGAATTGTTTTCTACTTGTCTAGCTCTCGCTTGGTTTTTGCCGCTTCTTTTCGCCTCATCGCATTTCTCACGAGAAAGATCTTTTTAACAGCAAAATTATCGGTATTGTTGTTTGTATTCTTCAGTATTAAATAAATTTCTTTTTAAAGAATTTAAAAATTCTTCCCGATTCCTGACGACTTAATGCTTTTCTTTAGAGGACCTACTACGTTCTAACTCTATGACAAAATGATCCTCTCTTAGACAAGAAAACATAACATATATAATGCAAAATCTTGGAAAATCTTTGACCAAACAATTCAAGTTATTTACCTAATCCAAAGCTGGAGTCTCCACCCCACTGGTACTCCGCCTTGGAGATAATCGTATCACCAGCATTTCCATCAGAGAAACTTCCATCCACGTCAGTTATCAATAGCTGTCGCCGTCCATCACAGTCCATATCGACGCAGTCGGAGGGATTAACCCATCTAAGAATTGAAAAAAAATTAGGTGATGTACACTGGTTAGTTCGTAAACCGTGCGACTGGAGTTCGATTCCTGTTGTTTCTGATTAATATAATAGTAATCATAATTTCAAAGTGACTATACAGCCGGCAGTTATAGTTAAATATAAAAAGTATAGTTAAATATAAAAACTTTTGTTTGCGCTAGCTTTTACCGAGCTTGCCGTTAGAGTATACGACGGCTGATTGTCAACATACAACTTACGTCAAAGTTGGCACGGTGTAAAAGAGTAAGGATTCCTTGTCCACGTTGTATTTCGTCACTCCTTCCATGGTAAAAGGATGCATGATGTCACCAATAACGGGGTTTGTCATAATTGCTACATCACGCGCGCCACATACTTCACCAAACCGTGCGAATGTAACACCAATGAGCTTTGTCATGCCGTAAATAGCAGGGTAGTTATGTGGTCCATCCCATCTCATCTTCGGTCCGCCAGCTTTGCCAGACATGAAACCTGTCATCATCATACCGACCAGCCCGCCTGAAAAGTAGAGATGATGTATGAGAGAACAATAAGATAATTTTAAAAACTTCTCCATTACGCTTTCACGCTGCAGACATGAAGAAAAAACTTGTTGTTTCGAGCGTATCTTGTGGTTCTTGATTGCCACTCTACCGGGAGTGAAAGCTATCAAATTTAAGTGTAGGAAATCTTCATGATGAATAGACAATTCCCATTATAGACTAATTTTAAAACTAGGCAAGGAGATGCCAATAAATCATCACAGCTAGAAAGAGCATACTAAAATGAGTAAAATTGCAAAGATTGGTCGCGAAATGTTGTAAAATGCGGAAAATATAGCCTTGCAAAGTTTGCAAATTTTGTGAAATTTTTGACAAGATAAAAAATAGTCCATAATGGAAATTGTCTATTAACGTTTGTCGTGGACGATATGTACAGAAGAGAAAGATCTGGTTAGGTCGAATGAGCGTTGGACCAGCGACAGAATATTGGGGTACGAATTTCTGGGAGGATCACAATAGGAAAGTGCTAGCACCGAGATTCCTATAGCGGGATTTATGCTAATATGTTAAAATCAAAATCGAACCTGAAGGAGATTTTTTAGCTCTCTGTTGAGCATTCACTACGCTTCCTTTTGGCGCCACTCTATCAATAACACAATCCCAGCTCGCAGTTCGGCCAATGAACGTCGTGTTGAGCACGTGAACAAACTTGTCAGCGGTGACATGAGTGAGTGCTGGCGGGGCGTACACGAAAGGGTTGATAGAGTTCGTGTTATCTGCGAACACGGAGTCTGAGACGATGACGCGGGATTTCGTGAAGAAGAATAGACCCCAGTCAAAGTTCTTCCATACTGTGAAGCCAGAAATCTTCGCACAACGTGGTACACCTTGTTTGTACATGATGGTGATGCCATGGAGTGCGCCGTGGACTGTGTTCCCACGCCATTTGTTGGGGGAATCCGCTGGAGCATCGCAAGGCTCGCCGTCTGTGAGATAACCAACACGCTCACTACCACCTTGGGAAAGAAACAAGTAACAGGTTGAAATAATGGTAAGAGCGGACGTCGGTTAGTTTCAATGGGACCAGTTTGGAAGAAAGAGGAGAAGATGCAAAGAAAGAAAGAAAGAAAGAAGAGCGAAGCTAATGGTGGTGACGAAGGAGGTGGTAACGAGAGTAATTGTGATGATGGTATTGGTATTGATGGTAATGATGATGGTGATTTTCTTGTTATTTTCTGGTAATGATGGTGGTGATTTTCTTGTTATTTTCTTGGTAATGATGGTGATTTTCTTGTTATTAGTATTGGAGAATGAACTGTGTAGATAAAAATTACAACAGAAGAAAGAAAATGGAGATGAAACGTAGTTAAATTTTTGAATAATCTTTTGCGTACTCATACGCAATATTCTTAAAAGATGTCTTACCAACAGCGTTATCTATGAGTACAACACTCTGCGCCTCTTCCGTGTCAATTGCTCCAGGCCAGTGTGGATCAAATCTATCTTCACGTCCTTTGTAGGTCGCCAACGACGCAGAATAAATCACCAAATTATGAATCAACTGATTCATCTCTCCTTCAATTCGCATTGAAGCTCCCAAAGTGAAGTAAATCACGTTGTTTTCGACCAGAAGATTGTTGGTGGTGAAAACACCTAAAGCCGTGTTGAAGTTGTAGTTGAAAGAGTTTCCTCTGACGTAGGAGTCGTTTGTCGTTGTCGTCTTGACGTCCAGGAAAGCCAGCGAGTATCTGTGAGAAAGAAAATGTACTCAGTATTTTGTTCTATTTCTTTAAGGCATTATAACTTGTGGTTTCAAATGGATTCAAATCGCTTGATGAAAAATTAGTTCATGGCTTGAAGGTTATCAGGAGGAATATACGCAGAAAAGTAGCTTCTTCAATAATATAGACAATAATTCTAAAACGAAAAGGTTTTCAGTCTTGTAATTTTTTGCCGAAAACGTTACTTAGCCAAAACGACCCTGGCGGGTTTACTGAAGTGTATCTCTGCGATCAGTAGAGATTGCTTTGGTCCTGAGGGCCACAACCAAGTGCAAACGAAGCTCTTGGGTCCACGTCTTACCTTGGATCATAGCTATCAGTCCAACCATTCTGTCCACAATGTTTAAACTCGACATTCTCAATCTTCGCCTTGCCAACATACTCAATTCCATTCGCCATTGTTTTACTCACAATCACCCTACATCCGAAATCCTGTGTTGGGATCGAACCTTCAGGATTATCCGCTCCCTCGATTTTGATATTCCTTGTAAGTAGACCAACCTCGGCCGCCATTTTGTATTGCCGTCCATCAGGGAGGATTTCCAAATGGCTGGTGTGTTTGTACTGCAAGCCTGTTTTTAAAGTAACTTTGTTTCCACTAACAGAATCAATAGTCACTCTCTCAGCTTGTCTGGCTTCGAATGTTGTTGAAGCAATAACGATCTCATCTCCTTGTTTCCAGTCTCCTCCAACTACGTGTTCGAGCTCCAGAACAGTGGCTTCTTTTTCAACCGTTTTATTAAGTCGGGTCCAATGTACGTCCCGTGACATACCGTGCATTTCAAGAGAGCCAAACACACCTATAGCTTTTGAGCCCACATTAGGACCGTGGTTCAGCGGCATATCTGGCGAGTCCCAATTTCCTTGTAAGGAAATGAGGACGTTGCCCGGATGCGGGTCATCTTTCCAGCCGATAATGAATCTTAAAAGAGGATTAACAATAGTTTAATTGTTTAGTTTAGTTTGGTTTGGGGTTTGGGGTTAGGTTTGGGGTTTGGTTTGGTTTGGTTTGGTTTAGTTCAGTTGTTTATAGTTACCTTGCTTGGTCTCCCATAATAAATATAATAGACGCATTGAGCACGTGGTCTCTTTCATTCTCAAGCTCCAACACACCATGAATTATCAGACGGTTTAACGTGGGGATCTGGGTATCAGCTACCATCCACCAATCAGAGCGAATCAATACGTTTTCACCATCCTTAGGCAAGACTCCGCCAAAGCCACCATAACCTGACTCCTGAGTACTCCAGTCTTCTTCTTGAGACCAGCGCAGGAAATTGTCTGGACGACCTTCTGTTGGCGGAGGTGGAGTGGGTACGATGCAATTGAGGAAGAAACAGCGGTAGATCTAAATTGAGGGGAAAAAACATCGTAAGCTTGGGAACTACGGTTGGTAGATTAGAGGTGGTTAGAGGGCTGCCCGTGACTGCTGAGTTAAGCCTGTTGTGGTAGGTTGTGAAGGTTCTTTGTATATCTGATACAAAATCCTGCTGATTACATAAACTTTAAGTTCAATTTTCTCTTCAATATCATTAATTTATTTTACATTGTTGCCTTCGGCTTGAGTTTGTATATCCGATACAACACAGCCGCTCATGTTTTAACTAGTATTTATACTTACTCGAAGCGAGATGCTCTTTTGGTTAAGATTATTATTTGCATCCTGCGTGTTATCCTTTCCAGTGACGAGATAAGTAAACTCCTTCGTTTCATTCACAAAGCCCCATTCCCCGTGAAAACCTGTTGTGGGAGGCACGTTTTCTGAGAAATTCTGAAGGTGACCAGTTGTAACAAAATAATCGGGCTCTTGCTTCAAGACGTGAGTAATACGAACATAATCAGTGGTATTGAATTCGTAGAATGAACCTGAGTAGGTGATGTTTGTGACTTGAGTGAGATTCCTGAAACTCATCTTATAATCGCAACCAACTACGAGGTTACATGTCCATCCCTTCGGATGTGTGATTCCTTTGAATTTCCACGGAATTGCGTCTATACCGTGTTCGTTTTCGAACATCGCATCCAACGGTATCAGTGATTCGGGCCTCGCTTCGTTAAAGGAGAATCTTTTAAAGTTGACTGTACTGTCGCATGTACTACCGGGGACTGCTCCAAAACTATCTTCAGAAGAAGCAGAGCAAGCGCTTGGCGGAAGGTTTGGATTCGTTGGGACAATACTTCCTCCTACTGTGCCTGTGGACAAAAATAAAGAAAAGATTTTAGGTTTGAAAATAGACTGGAAAATTAAACTTATCTTGTTCATGCTTAATATGTTTTGTCTAAACTGTTCTCCCGCGGAGGTCAGGGAAGTGCTATCTCTTGTCCCAGTCTAACCTAACAGTTTGGTTGAGCTATCACAGGAGGAAGTCTAAACTAAATTTTATAGTTATATTTATACTGGGTAGCTCTATCTGTTCTAAACTGTTCTCGCCACGATGTTACTAAAGAAAGACAACTGTATTCCGTTGCAGTGGAGAAGTTGAGTTAATTTACTATTTCCTGGCTTGTTTTACAAACAGTTAACGATATTATACACAGTCGTACGGTCTATGGCTGGCTATGGTCAGCAAGTAAGAATATAGAGTTGTTTTGAAAATCTACCAAGATACCAAAATCTACCAAAATCAAACCACAAATACTGCAGGAATCAAACTCTGCTCATGGAGATGAAAGGCACATGCACGAAACACTTTGCCCCATCAGCACCCCTAGTGGATCACTCATGATTCTTATAAACCACAAATGATCGAGTTTTCAGTTTTAAATTTCCCCTTACCTGTCAATGTGCCGTCCAAATCTTTAAAGACAACTTCATGCTTCCACTTGAATCTTGAACGTCTCGGTGAATTAATGAACGTTATCTTCTCAAACTTCACAGTCCACCCTCCTTGGAATATCTTACAATGAGCGCACGCCTCGAACGCTACACATTCATCTCGATCGAAATTCACCAACGTCACGTTGGACACGGTCAGTTTCGAACTCTTCGGTAGCATTAGTCCACTGGCAGTACAGTTCCTGTTTGTTGAGATCTCTCTTGGCAATCCTTCAGATACTTCACTGTGCCCGACAATCAAGGAGTCTTTGATCATAGGCCCTCCCCACGGGGCAGCATCGCTGCTTGCATCGATATATTCAATCCCAGCGAGATCGTTGTCCATCATGATAAAATCTACGAACCGTACTGCGCCCATTTGTACGCCTTCCGCCCCTCGCATATTGTTGTAAGCTAACAAAGAATGGAACTCGGCTGGTTCTGCAATGTTAGATTTACATTTGCCTTCGGTCTTTGGATGATAGATTGGGAACACCCATAAACCGTATCTGCCAAATGAGTGTGCAGTGTTGTTCCTGAATTCATGCATGAACACATTTCGGGGACAGACATCGGGCGTGAAGGACGGTCCGTCCGGATGTTCAAACATTTGATACCAGAAACCAAAATGACTTCCGCCTGCGGCAACGTTGTGACGGACTGTATTATTCGCATTCGTCACCCAATACGACGCCGGTGTCACGTCCACGTTTAAAGTTGACGTCGACGATATCACAAAAATACCAAGATTATATTGAATAATGTTCCCTGTTTCTATGCCGTCTTCCATGAAGAAAGCGTTTCCTCGTGCATTATAAAACACGTTACGTTCCACGACCAGATTGTTTATACCATGCATCGTAACAGCGCGGTTAAATGAATGATGAATACTACAGCCTTTCACATAGGAGCCGTCAACATCTCCGCTCACGTGGAAATGAATTGGATATCTTCCAATTCTGAAGGCTTGACCTGCATGACGTACTTCAACATGGTTGAATTGGGCTTTCACCATTCCTGCACTTTTCCGGGGTGCGTGGATCATGATTTGCACTCCGAATTCGTCGCTAGCCGGTTCTTGACCAAACTTCCCCAAAAAGCAAGTCTGTGTTTGGAATTGTCCAGGTTCGAAATTCTCCGGGCATGCTTCGATGGTTCCCTTCCATTGGTCGTGCTGCGAACCTTGTATGACTACGTTTCGCGTGAGCAATCCAACCTCTGCCCGCGTCTCGATGATTCTTCCTGCTATGTTCTGTACCAGTGAGATATGTCTGTATTTTAATGCTGGATAAACTTGGATGACCTTTCCAGCTTGTTGAACTCCCACAATCGTCACCTCCTCATGTTCTCGTATATTCTTCCCGGTGGGAGCAATCACGATCTTGTCACCTACCTTCCACGTGACAGCATCTTTCAACTTCAAGCTAGTATCCCCGGGATTTACAGTTTCCATGATAACTGTCCACGTGTGCAGCACATGTTGTCCATGCAGTCCGAGGTAACCTTCTCTGAGTGCAATACTTTTCGCACCGTATACTGGGATCTCCTTTGATCTGACATGACCATGGATTGTAATGGTCGCCTTGTGTTGGAAAGGTTCCTCTTCGCTTCCGACCATAAACGAACCACCATGTGTGATCAAAATAAATTTACTTTGAAGATGGATGTCTTTTTCATCATCAAACATGAAGGTTCCACCTTTGATCAACAAGAAAGCCAACACTGGTGTATCTACATCAAGTACCATGGTTTGCCCTTCATTAATTACTACAAAACTTCCTTCTCCTGGTGGGTCTTGCCCACCCCAAGTATACATGGATGACCAAACATCAACATAGTAAAAATCAGCATTCGCTTGAACTGCGGCACCATTTGAACCAACGTCTACCCGAACCTTTGTTTTGATGGTTCTGTGATGTTGACCGGTCCTACATTGTATCTCTGTGGCTGTTGCAGAAATCACCATACACATGGTACCATCAATGGTAACTTTATTCTGGCTCTGTGTGGTATTGAAACCTGTACCAGTAATGGTAAGCACCACACCACCACCAGTACCGCCTCGTGATGGTGAAATATTCGTGATGGTGGAGGTTAAAGCATCTTTGTAGGTATATGCAGATGATTGTATCTTCTGGACCGTCTGTGGTGTGCCATCAGGATTCATGCTGGTAACTTCAACAACTACATCACACGCATCGTTAGCTCCTGGGGCAGACTGGGACTTTGCTGGTACTTCGCACTGTATCATTGTGTCTGTAACATTATGGAGCTTTGATATTTCACACTGGCTACCACAGATGGTAACATTGACCGCACCATCAAATCCAGAACCTGTTATGGTCAAAAGTTTCCCCCCACCAAAACCACTCTCAATAGGGTTAACAGAATCAATGTTAAGTTGGTAAGTAAACTCTGTTGAGGAGGTAGCATGACCCTTACCATCAACATGCAGAGTCACAGGATATGTCCCTGCCGCTTTTGACAGTAGAGTGCATGTAATAGACGTCCCTGTACTTGCCGTCACTTGACAGTCAGTCATACCGATTTTCACATGATTCTGGGAGAAATCCGTGGCGAACTCAGTTCCATGTACAGTAACACTCTCTCCAGCTTTTCCTTCGGTTGGTGTTACGGAAGTAACTACTGGAGTGGATGTGCTATTCGTTGCGAAGGTTGTCGTCGGGAATGTTTCCCCGACGGAGACCACTGAGAGCAAGTACGACCCATCTGCTTGGCTACCTGTTTTACATCGTATAACAGAGGTTGTGATATCCGTTATTTCGCATGGTACTTGGCCGATTGTTACAGAGGTTGAATTGAGTGTCCCAAATCCGTTGCCATTTATAGTCAAGAGAAGTCCACCGTTAACACCGCCTTGTTCTGGTGAGATGCTCGTCAAAGTTGCTTCGCTTGTGATGACTTGTATGTCGGAGCTTGTGAATACGGCGTTCCCCTTGTCGCCTTTAACGTTGACTATCACCGAGTGATTTCCTACCATAAGGCCGGCTAGAGTACATGTGATTTGAACATCGCTTGCTGTCGCCACTACACAAGTTTCGCTGCCAACAGTGACCATCACGTCTGAGACCACGCTTGTGAACTGTAATGAGACAACGAAAAGTATTAATTCGCTTGTTGGTAGGTTTTCAAAATTGTAAATTTGGCAAACTATGTTTTACTACTCTGAGGTGCATGTATTTTTAGCCTGGTGTACACTATCAAAGTTTCTGTGATTACAGTAGGAATTTTGCATTGGTAAATTGGTATGTTTTGAAGTAATATATGAACAACGAGAGCGAGTGTTTCACCGGGATATCCAAACACGAGAAAACAATGTTTGAACTTGAACTAGGCAGATCTAAGAAAAATACGTTACCTTGGTCCCATCCAGGGTAACAGTAGTGTTGGGTGAGTTTACTGTGGCTGGCTGAACATTGGTCACCTCTGATGTTTGATTATCCATGAAATCAAACATACAACCACCGGAATCCTTGCACATCCCTGTGTGTTCCTGATTATCCTTGATCAAACTAAGGACGACAGTTTGGTTCAGTTTTTCCGCCATTTCCGATGTTGATGTGGTACATGTAATCTGAGTAAACGACACTTGTGTGACGTCACATCCGGCTCCACCAATCATAATTGACATACCATCAACGAATCCTTGACCGGTAATAACTACTGTGGTTCCACCCGCGATCGAGCCTCGTTTAGGTGCAAATGATTCCGCGGATGGTATTAACTCAAACGTTGTGGTATGGTTGACTGCTGGTGCGACAATGGCGTAACCAAGGCCTTTGACCAGCACAGAAACAGTGAGCGGCTCAAACGGCACTGGACTCTGTGACAGATCCATGGTACAAGTAATAGAAGTTGAAGTTGAACTAGCCACGGTACAAACATGGCTACCAAACATGACGATATTATCTTCGTTGGTTGTACTGAAATTGCTACCCTCGATAGTGATGACCTCACTGCTGACGCCAGAGCTTGGTGTAACCACGGTTACCATAGCGGTGACACAGGTTGATAAAGTGAAACTAAAGTGCACGTCGTCTTTTGTGGTAATTGGGTTTTCGCAGTCGCTTTCCTCCGTTTGTGCTGAAGAGTTTTGAGACAGGTTGTGCATTGCTTGGAAACCTAAATAAAATGAAATTTGACAGTTGGTTAGTAGGAATGTAAGAATGAGGGGTTATGTTCTACTGTATCATAGTTCTCTTTATTGAATTGAAACATATATTTATATGATGGACTTTGGTAAGTTGTATGTAGTCGGAAATATTGGAGCGAAGGAATTACACTGCATCTCTAGTCTCCTCCGCAGACATCTCACCCGAGGAATCGGGTGGTGGGAAAAAGTTTGAGAGGCCTGCGGAGGAGGCTACTGCATCTCTCAATTCTATTGGTCTGCCTTCAGGTACAAATCTAGCACATATCATAAAAAGAATGAAATATGACTACCATTTGATGAAACTTAAGAGAAAATAACTCACCGTCAACTTCCACTTTAACATTTTCAATTTTCGATTCAGCTGTTTCCACCACAACTTTTCCTTTCATGTCAATCGCGCCATAGGCATCAATATAACCACTTGAAAAGTAGTAAGTGCCCGGCTTGGTGAACAGGTGGACAAATGATCCGCTAGAACTTCGAGGACTCTTGAAACCTTCGCCATCGTATACAGATGATTGGTCGTCCGCTGTTCGAAAGACGCCATAATCTAAATTGACTGCAACTGGAGCAGCCCAGCTCCACTAGAAAAAGAGATCGGTGGCATAGTGGTTAGTATATGCTCCTCTCACCCCTGTGACAACAGTGTTGCCATTCTACCAAGTTTTCTCCGGTATCCTCCTGTAGTAAATCTGGACAAGTAATGAAACGACCCTTCCCAGATCTCAAGTAACAACATTTTGGAACTGATAAAGCTATCCAGTATAAATACAGTTGGTTTAGTTAAACAGAAACAATGATAGATGGTCCTTTCTGGGAATATAAAGAGTCTATAGAGTCTAGAATCGATAGAGCTATCCAGCAGGGATCAGTATTTACCTTGACAGAATCACCAACTTTTATATGAACTACAGCCGGTTGCCACTCATAGCCAATTCCATATTCTAGAAGAAATTTTCAAAATAAGAATAATTTAGAATTGATAGAGCTACCAGATTGTTTTGTTTAGGTTCCCTCCTGTAGTAGCGCTGGTGACAAAGGAAGAATAGTTTATTCAAATTTTGATAGGACTATAGTCTTTATAATACCTGGATGAGACCCAGAATTATCAATTTCCACAATGCTGCCACCATTTTCGGTCCGACATTTTATCTCGCTCGAAGTACTCTCAAAAACCACGCATCTCTTCTCCCCAAGCTTGACGACATTTCCGCTCATGTTGCTATGGAAACCTTCCCCGCTAATAGTGACCTCCGTACCACCGTTCAGCGAACCTCGTTTCGGGGAAATATCGCTGACACTTAAAACATAAGTGTAGTTCGTCTCAGGGCCATTGTACGATGCTCTGCCATTCTTCTGGGTGTCCACAACGACCTTCGCTTGCCCAGGAGGGTTTCGTGGCAGTATGCATGTTATTTCAGTGGCGGTTGCGTTCTGTATTTGACAGTCATTAACTCCGATCATAACTTCAATCTCTGAGAGTACATCGGGGAAACCAGTTCCTGAGATCGTTAAAACAGACCCGCCGTATACCGGGCCTGTGGTTGGGCTGAATCCAGTTATTCTCGCGTCCAGTGTTGAATCATATGTGTACATCTGATTTAAGGTAGCACTGACACTATTTGCTGATACATCGATATCAACTGTACCGCTGGCGTGAGCTCCAGTTTTACATACGATCTCCGTTGACATCACCGATTCCACTTCGCACTCCACTCCGCCAACCATTACAGTGAGATCGGAGTCAGAGGTACCGAAACCCGAACCGGTAATAGTCAGGGTTGTTCCTCCCGCAGTACCACCGCTGGACGGTTCTACTGCAGTCACAGTCATCTCAACAGATATGAAATTCGAATCCAGTGCTCTGCGGCGACGGCTCTGACCGGAGCCGACAACGGCATCGCCTTTGCCGAAAATATTGACATTGACGGATTGAGTTCCTGGTTCAACATTGTCAGCTGCAATGGAAAAGACGTTCAATTGTGGGAGAATTATGAGTTGAGCTTACTATAGTGTAGATCGACAGTAGGGTGCTGTTTCTTAAATAGATAACTAACCTACTCTGATGTGCTGGAAAACTGTAAGTAGGCTGCAGGGAAAGCGGCCCCTTGGGGCCGGTTGTTCAAAGGTGGGTTAATGCTAACCCTGGGTTAAAATGTAACCTGCTGTTTTAGTTTGTGTATTTCTGTACGTCTGTGTATTTCAAAACTTCAGAGAAGTAAACTCCTATCGATCCAGACAAGATCACTGAAGAAATATTTCCAAATTTATAGACAAGCTGTCAGGAAGTTTGCTTCGAATTTTAGGTTAACCAAGGGTTAAACTAACCCAGCTTTGAACTACCGGCTCCAGAGCTGCAAAATTCAGATGATTAAAAAACTGGAGGTTATCTAAGCACCGAGACCATTATACACAGAATGAGAGAAGTATGATCAGCATGCAATTCATTGGCATGTCCCATCCAAATATTTTCTATGCTATTTCCTGCACTAGTTTTTTGTTAGCCCTCTGTTCCCCATACCTTTTTCATCGGATTAAGAAGAATTGGAAGAGAAAACGTGTAGTCATAAATCTTATTCATTGCATTCAAAGGTGTAGAATTTGATCAATAAAAATCTTTTTTCCAGAAATGCCGTGAGATTTGTAAATTCAGCCGTGAGATCTGGAGTTCAGCCCCAAATACCTTAAATAGGTAACCACCCTAGAGGTGTCCTAGTAAGCCTTTGAGCAACCTCGTACCCAGGCTATTTTCTCTTATTCTCGGTGCCACGGCCAGGATGGCCTTTGAACTGCCTCTATTGCAATTCACTACTCTGCTTCTAGGGACCATTAGAGCGACATTATCATTATGAAATACCAGTTCCTCTTACCGATCGTGAACGTAATTTGGGTTTCGGAAGCCGAGCTGACGTTGCACTTCACGTTGCCAATAGTTACCATCACGTGACTCGAGTTACTGCTAAATCCCATGCCCGTCACGTTGACTATTGTCCCAGGCGTTGCCTGGGTTGGTGAAATACTCTGTATGGTGGGTGTTCTGTCACTGGAGTAACTATATGAGCAATCTTCACTTAGACAACTTGCGACCAAGTCGTTGACAGTAACGACAACCTAAATGGCAACGCATAAAATTGAGTCAACGATGTACGTTTCTTGGTTTCTAAAACATTAAACCGTAAAGTGCTGTCTTCTTTACTATTTTGTCTAATGCCAGACGATTTTAATCAATCAATCAATCAATCAAACTTTATTTACCCACGGTACTATTTCACAAAAGACAAAAACTAAAATATTTACAAGATGTGATCTTCCAATAGGCCGTGCTATATATGTATGAATAATTACATGCAATTATAAAAATATTTTATTAAGTTAATACAATAAAATCGAAGAGAATAGAAAAAAGATAAATTGATTATCAAGAATTATTACGACTATTTGACACTAGAGCCCTTTTGAAGGTTGACAATGAACCCATATTTTTTATATTAGGTAATAAATCATTCCAAGCTACAGCTCCTCTGTACGAGAATGATTTTTTACAAAAGTTGGTACTTGGCCTCGGGAGTGCAAAGTTAAATTCAGCCTGCCTAGTTTGATGATTATGAAGTGTACTGGTTTTCGTGAATAAATCAATTAGGTAATCAGGCACCATATTATTATTTACCTGATACATAGTAGTACATAATTGATTATTTCTTCTGAGACTTAAATTAGGTATATCTAATTCTTTAAGTATATCGACTGATCTAAATTCATACCCACGCTTTGTAATGATACGTGCTGCTCTATTTTGTAACGTTGCAACTGGTTTTGAAGGGTAATTCCAAGACAACCCCATACTTGCGAGCAGTAATCAAAGTGTGGTTGAATTAAAGTTTTGTAAACTGTTACTAGAGTCCTTACATCAACAAAATCTCTTAATCGTCTAAGGACGTAAAGACCCTTGTTCACTTTCTTTGTAATTAGATCTGTTTGAGAATGCCAGGTTAAGGTCTCATCTACCATCATACCCAGTGATTTAGTAACGGTTACTCGTTGAATAGGCGTATCTCCAATTTTTATTTGCAATTCGGAGTTACACTGTTTAAGTTTTTGATGTGATCCAATAAACATATATTCAGTTTTGCTTTTGTTCAGGCTCAGCTTGTTGGCCGCCATCCAAACTGAAATATTTGCTAGGTCATCATTTAACGTTTCAAAAATTACTTTGACATCCTTATTTGCCGTTCCTAATTGAGTATCATCAGCAAACATGTCACAATCCGCACTTTTTAAGCAATTTGGCAAGTCATTTATGTAAACAAGAAAGAGTAAGGGTCCAAGAATTGAGCCCTGCGGAATACCAGTAATTATTGTTCGTGGTTCAGACAGTTTGCCATTAACTTGACAATACTGGGTACGATTAGACAGATAGGACCTAAACCAGTCATGCGCCCTTCCTCTCACTCCATACAAATATAATTTTTTTAATAAAATACCATGGTCAACGGTATCAAATGCTTTTTTTAGATCTAAAAAGACAACTCCATTGATTAACCCTTCATCCATATTTTGATACCAATGGTTTGTCATTTTTAACAATGCACTCGTGAAGCCGAAAGCGTTGGGCTCGATGAGTTGACTGGATAACTGTCTACTTCTCTTGTTGATTCAGTAAGAAGTAATGCACAAATATGCTGAGCGGTATCGGGCTAATTCTTACATAAAAACCGCCCGGAATATTAAGGCTAAAATGTGTGCGTAAAGGTGTTGTTTTGGTGCATTTACCTGAGGATTCGCAGTTGGCATTCGCAAGAATTCGCCCGGGATTTTATTAAAGAACAATCCGCCCTCAGTTTCGGAATTTTTGAAAGTTACTTTGTTGCCAGACAGTTTGGTTGTATTAACATGAAGTAACGGTTGTTTTCCAGGCTTGCTGGTCCATGTCACCTTCCACTTGGAGTAGTAACATTGCTCAGTTTTCGTCACCACCACTGTGCCAACGTTGAAATTTTCCTGAAGCATCTTCTGGAATTGTTCTGCAGTGCTGTTCAATGGAATGTCTGAAAATAACGAAAATGATATTTAGTAGAAAATACCCACCACTGGCCAAAAACGTTACAAAAAGATACCATTCAGTTGTCACACATGTCCTTCACCGCTTCTGTGACAAGAGTTTCATAACTGCTTGTGCAATTTCCTGCAGTTTAAAGTTTCGTGTTGTCTGCACATGTACTTTCTTTGGAGAAACCATTTGCCTCGTGGCAAGTCGGAAAATGATCAAGATAATGGCTCTGATTGATTGATTGATTGATTGTATTGACATATGACTGTTGACATTGCTTTTTAGTCTTCAATATTTGAATGAGTCATGCTTTGGAAATGACAATAAATTTATATTACCCAACCCTTAAGTTGTTTTGTTTTTCATTTACCCAATCTTTTACTCACCCAAATCTTTTACTCACTCAACTCTTTCTTTACCCAATCCTTTTCTCTTCGGTGCTACTCCGGTCCCTTATTAAAAACTACTACTTAACTTAGAACTCAACATTTGAAAATATCTTTCCCTTAGCTTTAAGAACCGTTCTTGTAAACCACATCTTACCTTTAACGGTTTCGTTCAACTGTGAAAGATCAAACGCTCCTGTCAGAGGTGGGCTAGCAGCTTGTTCTCGCTGTATTCTTATGTCAGAACTAAACTCTGTAAAGTTGAAATTCATGTCGTCCTTGCTCCCACTACTCTGAGCGCCAACAACAGCGAACAGTGGTAGATTATCGCCACATTTCGCAGGAGACATACTGACACTGAATTCTTTTGATGAGGTTTTTGTGACAGACATATCTGTTATCCAATGGCCGTTCGGCTTTGCAGCCTTTCTCATTTTAGTCACTATAACAAATAATTTCACACGATAAATCTAATATATTCTTTGAAGAGAGGAAAAACCGTTAATTTGCTTCTACACTAAACTAACTGTGTTTATAGTTCTATCAGATCTAGACTAGCAAACTGTTCTTCCTAGAGGTCCAGTAAGAGTCATCGTCTGTTATTGATCCAGTGTTATACTACACGAGGAAACCTAAACTAAACTAACTTGATTATACTACATGGATAATTCTATCAGTTCTAAACTGTTCTCCCTAGAGGTCCAATAAGGGTTCTCTTATTGATCCAGTGTTACTACAGGAGAAACCGAAATATCCAGCAAAATCTGTGGTGTTCGACAGAGTCAAACTGGAAACTCTCTCCTCATATGCAATTGAGGGAACGTTACTGTATAATCAGGTCACTACATCATTCAGAAATCGAAGACAGGTCACTGGATGTTAAATGATGTTAACCGTGTTGTGCCAGTGTTGTTGAGCCAGCAATATTGCAACAACTAAGGCGAAAAAAGATGTCATACCTGTCAGCGATATTCTCCCAATCCAGATATCATCAACGTAGAGAGGTCGTGAAATGGATATAATCTTCATATATACAGACGAGCCAGGTTTGCGTGCATTGGATAACTCGGAGTTAGCAGACACCACATCATACATGTTCACACAGATATGATTCCAGATATGTGGCGTGTAGGACTCCACTTTATGGTAAATATTCATCGTGTCATCATCGTCTGACTTGTCTTTGTATTTGATGTTAAATCGAAGATTGACGCTTTCCAAATCTCCTTTGATGGCCAGGCAGAGCTTAATAGATTGACATATGATTGTATGATTGTATCAGAGCGAGGATTAATATCCGTCTGGATTAAATTTTACGTAGGTTGTTTGTATTGAACCATGGGTTAAGATTTAGTATAATATATGCCCATCGGGTAAATTCACAATTGAACCTAATCAACTAAAACGGGTTTATGGTCTGTTGCTATCCAGTTCAATCACATATATAATTTCAATGCTTGGTTACCTTCGTTCCATTCTATGCTTACATTGTCAGAACAGTGGCAGCTAGACATGTCAGTATTATGAATCCAGAATTATGAATAGAAGCAATCAACTAACATTGATGAGGCTTAGTACTTTTTGTGTGTGTTGGTATTATGTGGTCAGGTGAATATGATGTTTGTGGTGTTACTCTGAGTGTGCATCCACACCGGGCAAGCTGAAACGTTTTGCTTGGCCACGGTGGGAATCGAACCCATGACCTTTGGGATACCAACTGAGCTACGCGGTCAAGGCCCGTCAAGTCGGTTCGAGTTAATAACACCAACACACACAAAAAGTATCATATCATAGATTACATTGATATCGAAGGAACTAGACTGAATTCCGAAATATCATCAACTCGAACCGACTTGACCTCGTAGCTCAGTTGGCAGAGCATTGGGCTAGTATCCCAAAGGTTGCGGGTTCGATTCCCACTGTGGTCAGGCAAACTTTTCAGCTTGCCCGGTGTGGATGCACGCTCAGGGTAACACCACAAACATTATATGCCTAAATTATCAGAACAGCGGTAGCTATAGGCATTTAAGTTATCTGAAAATGTGCATTTCGTGAGTCTATTGTTACCTGTGGGAAAGTTTGTACATCAAATTGTTGTCCTTTGACTCCATCACGGATATATGTTTTCCCAGCTTCATAAATTTTATCAGGATCATACAGCGCGTTTCTACCACAGTACGGTTCTATGTTTCCCACTCGGGAACCTGACGTTGAGCTCAACGAGCCTTCGAAGCTGTGGTAGAAATATCCATTCCCTGAAACGTAGAAATCCTGGTTAGATACTCCTGGGAAAATAATTGGTGCTGCAATTTGGGTAGTATGATGGATATTGATGGTATTTAACATGGTGTGATAATTCAAGATTTCCTGTCGTACCCGAAATCTATTTTGATGTACTTTCTCTGGTAATAGTGGATGTGTCTAGCTTAGGTTAGATTACGCAAAAGACTGTAATGATGCACTTACCAAAACGTGTTGAATAAGTACACTGAGTTGTGATCAAATCTTTTAAAACTTCAGTCATCTCCTCTTGTGTGTTATCAGCGTGAATCGGCATTGATCTCACACCTTGTAAACTTAGACTAAAACCTTTCGTGGTCCTTATTCCTGCCTTGCCCAACACGACACTGACAAAACCTCGAAACTGCCCGGCATCTTCCAACAAGACCGTAGCCTCTGGTTGAGTAAACACGAATTTGACCCGGTACATTCTTTCTGTGCTATCAGAAGACTCCAGGCTGACAGTAACAGACCCGGCGGAGCTTACTGAGGGCAAACCGTTCAAGGCTGTTTGCAAGCCAGCTGCTGCTATGTCTGAGGAAAGGCTCTCTGTGGTGTAGCCGTCGTAGTTTAGCATAAAGTCTGGAGATTGGTTGCAGGTGTTGTTTACCATTTGACATTGTTGAACTGTAACGAGTTGTTCTTCGTGGCCTGTATGTCCATCTGTCCATTCTTCGACGGTAATAGACTAAAAGTGGATTGAGATGTGAAACCGAGTGAAGAACAGACAATGACGCCTAGTTTCGTTTACATCAAACCTTTTACACATCACACCCACAAACCTGTTTCTTTTCGGTTCGTACAATACCAAGCACCTTACGTTTTCTGGTTTCCTCCAGTAGTAACACTGGATCAATACGGGATGGCCCTAACTGGACTTTCAGAGAGAACAGTTTAAAACTATCCAGTATAAATAAAGTTAAAGCTATCCAGTATAAATAAAGTTGATTTAGTTCAAGTTTTCTCCTGTAGTAACATTGAACCAATAAGAGATGACCCTTGCTGGACATCTAGGGAGAACAGTTTAGAACTGATAGAGCTATCCAGTATAAATAAAGTTAGTTTAGTTTAGGTTTTCTCCTGTAGTAACACTGGATCAATAAGAGATGACCCTTGCCGGACCTCTAAGGGGATCAGCAGTTTAGAAGTGATAGAGCTATCCAGTATAAATGAAGTTAATTTAGTTTAGGTTTTCTCCTGTAGTAACACTGGATCAATAAGAGATTACCCTTGCTGGACCTCTAGGGAGAACAGTTTAGAACTGATAGAGCTATCCAGTATAAATAAAGTTAGTTTAGTTTAGGTTTCCTCCTGTAGTAACACTGGATCAATAAGAGATGACCCTTGCTGGACCTCTAAGGGGAGCAGTTTAGAACTGATAGAGCTAATATCCAGTATAAATGAAGTTAATTTAGTTTAGGTTTCATCCTGTAGTAATACTAGAGCTGAGCAACAAGATGTGATCCTTGCTGGACCTCTAGGAAGAACAATTTAAAATTGATAGAGCTATTTAGTATCAATAAAGTTAGTTTAGTTTAAACCTACAAACCTGCTTCTCATCTGCTCGTGTAGTAGACAACTTGACTTCCTGCACTTCATTGACTGCCATAGGAACTTTATCATGTGTCAACTTGGTGGTATGTTTGTGTAGGCCAAGATTCACAAAGTGAAGACCTCCATGATCATATTGAAGAACTTCAAAGTAGTATGCTTTTCCTCCAGTCAGATGGAGAATTTCAGATCTCTGTGATCCGTACTTTGACCACGAGGAGCCAGTATATCCATTAGCCGAAGCAACCTCTCTCTAAAATGAAATATTTTTAGTTAGGTTTTAGAGCTTTCATTTCTCAGATGCTACAATCGAAAACCGGAAAAATCAGTGCAAGTTTTACCTTGTTTGCAGGAGATGTGGTATTACTCAAATACACCAAGCTCTTGTCATCTGACCGTACATAAAATCTATAACTATCAGTCGCTGGTGGCACAAAGTAACCTTTCAGTCTTGATGTGTATTTGTCTGTTGCATGATCCTTGACGAAAGTCTCTACTGTGGGAGAAGAAGCGAAATCTGTATAATGTTCACGGATATAACCAGATGTATTGGATGAGAATGTTGAATCGACATTCCTTAGCTCATAGGCTATTTGATCTTTCCATATTTCACGAACAATGCCTCTTGCACCTTGCAAAGAAATAAGATTTCTTGTCTTGCGAGTCTTGTAAGATTAAAATGCGTATTTATACTGGGTAGCGTCAATTCTAAACTATTTTCCTACAAATACGTTAAGGCTCCCTTTCGGTCCAGTATAATCAGTATTAGTATAGGAGGAAACCTGAACTAAACTAACTTTGGATAAATCTGTCAGGTTTAAACTGTTCTTCCTAGAGGGTCCATCAGAGGCCATCCCTTATTAGAGAGTTTAAGCTTCTCGTTTATACGTCAAACGGCAAACGGCAGGCAAAGAAACGTTTTACGGTATCAGGGAATAAAGAATAAATGAACTTGTTGTTTAAAACTGCAATGCATGATTATTCTTTCGACACAAGAAAGAAAATATGAAACGAAAACTTTGAACGAAAGTTTTGCCAAGAAAGTTTGAACCTGCCGTTGCCCAGAAACGTGAAGATTAAACTCCCTATTGATCCAGTATTACTACAGGAGGAAACCTGGACTAAACTAACTTTACTTACACCAGATAAATCTGTCAGTTCTAAACTGATCTTCCTAGAGGTCCATTAAGGGTCGTCCTTTATTGCTTCAAAGTTACTACAGAATGAAACCGAACTATTGGAGAAAAACTGTAGTGTTTGATGCACTCTTTTGGTATGGGGCGAAAGTGAAATCATAATCGGGCATCAAGAACTGAAATTAGGTCGAAGAGATGATTCTTCTTTCATTGACATAACTGCAATACATATTTCATACCTGGGTGCAAATCCATGTCTTTTATATTGGCAGGTTCTCGAGATGTTCTGCATGTGATAGTATTTTTACTGCTTGACAGAACCTCGCATGGAGCACCTACACACAGAAAGATTGAAGACATATTCAGTAAGTTGTTATTTCAGTACCAATCAGTTATTCAAAGGCTACTATCATATATACTGTAGTTGCTAAAGAGTTTTGTTGACGGAAATTTCGCGTGTAAATTTATTAGACCTAACCAGGAGCAGTTGTGAAAAATGCAACTATATGCCCCCTCTGGCAGGAATGAACCTGCGTCCCTGCGATTCCGGTCAGTGCTCTAACCAACCGAACTACAGAGAGACAGTTGTCAAGCTCTAACCAACTGAGCTACAGAGAGATAGTTGTCAAGCTCTAACCAACCGAACTACAGAGAGACAGTTGTCAAGCTCTAACCAACTGAGCTACAGAGAGACAGTTGTCAAGCTCTAACCAACTGAACTACAGAGAGACAGTTGTCAAGCTCTAACCAACTGAACTACAGAGAGACAGTTGTC